ATTGATATAGGATTTAACTTGAAAACCGCTTGCTCTAGCATTCTCAAATTCAACTACTTTCACTAACTGTTTCATTTACAATTAACTGACTTTTTAGTTCGCTTAAATCTATTATGAAAGTTATTAAGAACTGTATTGCCTGGCAAGTAAATCTAATTTCGAAATATTCAACGTCGATAAATGTCGCAAATCCCGATGAGCTGTGGCCAAAAATAGTTAACATGGTCGGATATTTCTTCATTTACAAATTTTTGTATATTATTTTAGAATGAGATATGAGAATGAGATATAGAAAATTATTAGAATTAATATAGAAAAAATTGTATAAATTACACGCACTCTTCACTAGTGCGTCAGAACCCGTTTAAAAGGGCACACCTAGTGTGATAGCCTAAAAAACGTCGCTTTTCGAGAATTTAAAAAAATTACGGAGCGATTTTTTTATGTCAGGGTATATTTATACAAGCTTAAAGAATACACAGTGGAATTTTTGGGAAAAAATTAAATATTTTTTAAGTTATAAGTAAAGTTTTAAAAAAAGTTGAATTTTATCCCAAAATTTTGATTGTTTTGGCCTGCCAAAATTCGATTTTTGATCAGATCATTTAATATGTAGAATTATAAACCAAACAGGCAGAAAAAAATTTCATGATGATCGGATCATTTTTCTTCGTGTTACCACTTCAAAGTCGAAAAATGCTGTTTCGAGAAAAACGCGTTGCAAGGCAAGCTGATAGAGCTGATTGAAATGAGCAACTGCCCCTTAAATGGCTGTAATTTTTAAATGTATAAACTATCGTAATATAAAAAAAATAGATGTTTTCAACATTTCTACGCTAAGCGTGCCCCTTAATGAAATTTGGTTTTTAGTTTTATATAATATAATACAAGCTGTACTCAATTCGTCAGATTTTGAAGAGTAGCGAATCGAACAAACAATTGGTATGAATGCAATAGAATGACATAATAATGAAGTGATAGAATTAAAAAAGTTATACGAATTTGACGAGCTATTACGCTCATCTACTGAAATCAACACGATAATATCTGTTATAGCTTTCAAAAATAAAATTTTCTTGACAAGAGAACAGTGAACAAAATAGTGAACCGAAAAGTGGCGTACCTAAGGAGGTAATAAAAAAAAACAAAATATGATTAGATTTACATTTCAAAATTAAGGGAAAAATTGAGATTAATTCAATATAATAATAATATAAAAAATGTATATTTTGGCGGAAAGTCAACGGGTTTAATACATATTATTTTGACTGCTGAAAATTTCTATAGTTTTTATTATCTTTCCGTAAATTTTAAAAACTTTCTTGGTTAGATAATCAAAGCCTTTACTAATATTTTCTGATTTCTAACTGTTTGATATTTTTGGGTGGAAATCACCTGTGTAATATATTAAATTTAAATAAATAAATTTCAAATAAAAAAATTTTAAATAAAAAAATTTAATATATGAGACAGGTGATTCATGATCCAAAGGCGACTAAAAAGCAAAAGCAATTTCCTCATCAAAAAAATTTTCTCCATTTGAAAACTAAACTATTTATTAGAATAAATATTAAATTGTCAAAATCACTTGACTCTTGATCACTGAACTGTTTTTCAAATTCTATTATCGGGCTTTAAAAAAAAGCTAGTATAAAATATAACAGACAGAATTGAATGCTTCAGCAAAACATGTTGAACTGTTCAAAATCGCTATATTAATAAAAGACTTCTCTTAAGCTTTATTTTTTAGTATTTGTTATTTAACATAAATAGACTTGAAAAGAGATCTTACATTCCTTAACACGCCAAAATTAACCGTTTAAAGATAGCTACTGATCGCATTGCAGTAGTACCTCGTTACATGAATGGAATTTGGTGATTCTGAAACATTCCGCTTACTCGAACGGAATAACAATTTAATCAATTTCTTTTCGCCGTTCATCTATAATTATGACACTAATTCTTACGCTCTTATTAAGTATATTTATTTTTACATAACCATTGAAATACAAATTAACTTGTTTTATTTAATTAAACCTTTGCTTAATTCCTTACACGCAAAACGCTGTCACGCTTAAAATAATGCCACTAACTAAAATGAATTTTACTAAATTCAGTACGTGCTTGGGAGAATATAGGTATGTACATGACATACGCGGAGCATGCAAACGTAATAACAAAAATATTTATTCCATTTCATATAAAATAAATATAATAATACCATCTGATCAAATTTGATATATTATTATCGCCTTTAAAATAGGCTCCATTTTTGTTTTCTTCGGTTTCGGCTTATTTTTGCAGCGTAATTTTTTGGACAGTTTCGATGCCATATTTATAAACACACGTCTCGACGTACATAAAGTAGACTCTCCAAAACATTTCTGGAACATTTTCAACGATTCCGTAGACGCGATTCCATTGGAAACATAAAATTTCAAGCAAACTTAATATTCATTTTTTTTTTGGTCATGGTAAAAATAGCGAGACAAACGCTTCGCTGCCAAACGCACACTAATTGACACGTGCCCACAAAAAGTTGTATCCATTTAGGAAAAAGAGTTATCAATTGGGTTTGCTCGCGAAGTTTATATGGACCAGTCCGCGGCAAATTTGATCAGATGGTATAATACCAAAATATATCATTATATTATCAAAATATACGTGTAATAACCAAGTCACGAAATTCCAAAATTATAGATGATTTTTAAAAATGTTAACGAATCATATTTATAAAAATTTATGTTTACAATTATTAATATATTTTTTTTCTATGCGACTATTGTATAGCTCCTCCATCGCCTCCGCAAAATTTGCGCATTCCGGATGTGACGAATCGCAGCGTAACTCTCGATTGGGAAGTTCCAGCAAATAACGGAGGCTCAGAAATAACTGGTAAGTTCAAGAGGAAGATAGCTTTTGGAACTTCTTAGCTTTTATTTAAAAAAAAATGGCGTTCATCCAGTAAATTAAGTTAAGCGGTAAGTTCGCCTGGGAAAAAGCTCCCCGATCTCTTGCATTAATCATATGTACTTTGGTTCATTGAAACCTAGGCTTGAAAAGCTTGAAATGCTTTAAAAGGGCTGTAAACCATTAAATTAAGTTTAGAGACATCATTAAAACCTAAGGGACCAATTAAGATCAAATTTAAGTTATATAAAAGTTTGAAGAGCTACAATGGGACTATTTAGCTTTCATTTAAAAAAATGACGGTAAACGAGTAGTTGAAGTTTAGAGGTTAGTTCGCCTGCGAAAGAACTTGCAGGTATCTTGCATAACTCATAAATAGGTTCATTGAAACCTAAGGGACCAATTAAGATCAAATTTAAGCTACTTAAAACCTGGAAGAGCTTTACTGGAACCTTTTAACCATTATTAAAAGTAAAAACAAAATTTAATAAATTTTCAACTGCAAACTTGCCTTTTATCTTCACAAGGCTACTGTATTGAAAAACGTTCGGCAACATCGACCAAATGGACAAAGGTAATCACGTTAGACGCACACTGCCGCCAATACACAGTGGATAACTTGAAGGAAAAATGTGAATACTGGTTTAGAGTGTCGGCGGAAAATGCGGTTGGATTAGGTGCACCAGCCGTAACCGAGAGCGTCGCACTCAAAACGCATGCAAGTAAGTACAAATCAAGGCAATCGATTATAGAACTCTTACAATGAAGTACAAAATATTTTTATTATCAAATAGCTGTTCCATCACCGCCCACTGCGCCATTGGAGGCGCGTGTACTGGCTGCCAATGCTCATGTATTTGAATGGGGTATACCCGAGTCAGATGGTGGTGCGCCACTGCTCGGCTATCACATTGCCATACGTGACATGAAGAAGAGCATGTGGATCGAAGTGGGCCGTGTACCGGCCGGTGTGCAAAGATTCCAAATACGTGACTTACAAGAGAATCACGAATATATGATACGCATATTTGCAAAGAATGAAATTGGGCTTAGCGAACCACTCGAATCGGAGGAGCCATATGTGGCTATTACTGCAGGTAAGAAAATAATATAATAATAAAAAGTATATATATATGTATAAATGAGCAGCATAACGAGCTGAGTCGATTTAGCCATGTCGGTCTGCTTGCCCGTCTGTATATACGCGAACCATTCCCTCAGTTTTTGAGATACCGACCTAAAATTTTACATAAGTTCTTTTCTCCCCAAGTACTTATATGGAAAACATTTTTATGTGACACGATATGTTCGGCACAGATTATTGTCAATGGCAACGCTTTAATCTCCGAACATATTGTTCAGATTGGACCACTATAGCATATAGCTGCCATACAAACTGACCGATCAAAATCAAGTTATTTTTTTACTTGATATCTTAACGAAATTTGGCATAGATTATTGCCCAAGCCAGTGTTAGAATCTCTGAGCATATTGTTCAGATCGGACCACTATAGCATATAGCTGTCATACAAGCGATAAAAATCAAATTGTTATATGGAAGACTTTTTATTTTACAAGTCTTCTTCTCGAAATTTGGCGCAGATTTTTGCTGAAGACAGCCCGACAATCCTACCATACAAACTAACCGATATTCAAGATAAAGATTATTTTATATCCTTTTATGTTATAAAAAATGCTGAAGTTAGCGTTTCTTTTTTTTTTTTTTTAGACAGAATAAATAAAACCAAATATATTTATTTTATTATTTTATTTCATTTTGCAGGACATTTGAGTTTACCTGACGAACCGCGCACAGAAATGAGTTCATGTAACACATCGTCATGGTTACGTGACCACAATATGGATGCGGATATACATTCGTATGCACGCGGTAAACTGCTGCGCCGAGATGAATACTTCTTCCGCATTTGGGCGAAATTGCCAAAGAGCAAAAAGAAGAAGAATTCAAAATAATTATAAAAAATATGATGCATTGCATTGCAAATGTGCAAATAATGTAAAAATCATAATTGAAAACAACAAAGCAATGAATGCTTCGAAACTACTAATTTTACTAAATCACTTAATTTATGTAATTACTGATAATTTTCATATTTATACAGCATACTTTCCTATGTGTGAATGTATGTGCACGTAATTGTAATAGTTTTTTGAAAATGTTTTATATTCATTCAGCGATTTTAATTAATTTTAATTTGTTGATTATGTAATGTCATTGAAAATGTGTTACGAAAAATAATCATAAATTATAGATATTTGTTTCCAATAATTGAAGTTTTCTGCAGAGGTTTAAAAATGCGAGCGAAGAGAATTTTTACAACCAATTAATGTTGAAAAATTTTAATTAAAGAAGCAAATATTAACAAAAAAGGATATAAATATCAATTTTAGAAGACATAAAATAATCGTAAAAATTTTAAATATTTAAAAAAATTAATTTCGATATAATATACAATATATAAAATTTAGTTTTGTTTATTATTTATTAAATCTGTGATAAATGTCAAAATGTCAAGGAAAACATTAAAAATGTCGCAAAATGTATGAAAACATAAAAAGAGAACAAGTAAACTAAATGTAAATTGTAAATACAATAAATAATAATTGGTGCGAAATAGTTATTATTTATTGTATATTCCTATTGAAAGTGAAGGGGAAATTATGAGTTCACTTTATGGGAGACATCATCAAATGCAAATATAGGTGCGAGCATTTTTAAAGGAACTCACTTAATTTCAACTTCACTTCAAGTCTGTAATCTCAAATTTACTTTTTGTACGTAAAAGAAATTGTGCTTTGGCGCATACATAGTTACTATGTATGTATGAACTATATATTACGAAATGTACATGATTGTTCTGAATGCATAAATAAAGATAAAATAATTTAATAAAAAAGTGATTTGTTTTCAGAGTAAGTATACAAATGGAGATAAGAATCGTTATATATATATATCATCTGATCAAATTAGACCCGGACTGACAAACAAAAACTGCATTTTCAATTACTTTAATAGGAAACTTTCTAGCATTCATACTCAAAACATTAACCAAAATGTGTTGAGTCGACCCATAAGAGATGTTGAAATCCTTTGCCAGCTCTTTGATGTCAACAAGACGACAGCACAATTTTTTTTTTTAACTTTTTCGATGTTATCGTCATTTACAGGCAATTCGCATGTGGCAAGTTTGCGATGACTTCACGACCTTCATTGGATGTTTTTTTGCCACTCAAATACTTGTCTTCCTAATAAAGTAGACTTCCTAAAACACTTCTGCAACATTTTCAACGATTCCGTAACCGTGATTCCATTGGAAACACATAAGTTAAAGTAACCTCGTTGTTCAATTTTTTTTCACTAACTAACAACTTAAATAAAAGTTTTACCCATCTAGGAAACAAATATTTATCGATTCGTTTTGTTTTAAAGGGACCAATCCGAGTCAAATTTGATCAGATGGTAGAATCCGGTCGTTATATAAATATGTATTAAAGTATTTTTTTCTTGCTTTTTTTTTAAATCGAATAACTTTAAACTTGTAAGCCAAGTTCTATGCTTGATAAGATCTATATATAACATATATAAAAAAAAATTAATTTTATTAAGAATATATAAAAAACTTGAAAAAATAAAAATAAATAATATTTAAAATTTTACATACATATACATATATATGAATGCCAAGACAATATCCGGTTGACAAAATTATTCAATTTTATTATTTAAATTATTTGATGGCTTAACGCGAACTACACTTTTTTCAGAACCGGAAATAAACACTACACAAGCTCTCAAACTGCTATTCGCGATATTAAATATCATCAAAATTAATTCAGTTGAAATTGGTGACGGATTTTTTTGATATTTAAAGGCATAAAACTTTTACAAACATATTATCTGCCTGACAAATTTGAATATATTTTGGCTAGCGCTAACAATAAAACAATTTTTACTTCCTTTAATTTCAATGGTAGCAGCTAGGATTCAAATATGTGCTAATGACAGCAAAAAAACTGATTACACTTTTAATTTCAATTATAATGTGCACCCTGTAGTCAAGGTCTAGAACGGAAAACAGATTTTATCGTTGATCTGCTGGCGTAAACACTAAATTCATTTCCGTAACTGATTTCTAAACTTACACTCTCACATGCACCATATGCCACTGCGTATTCAGAAATACATATGTGCTTGAAAACGGAATATAGCAGCAAATAACCGCGCGCCTTAAGCACTGGCATCCTTTTACTACAAGCGCTTTGCAAGCCGCTTAAATAACTTAGATCATACCACACTATTTTACTTTTTTTACTAATTACAAACAAATAAACATGTTTTGCGATTTCTTTTCACAAAATTCACAAGATTTGCTTTTAAATATTTAGCGTAAAATAATTTTCCCTATTTCATTTTATCGAACCGTTAACCGACGCGTTTGTGCAAAAATATACTGACAGTTCATTAAAATTGTACGGCTACTTGGAAGAAGAAGCATATTTTCAGTGTTCACAAAATGCAAAAGGGTTAACTATTTTTCGTTTGTGTGTATCAGGATATTCAGCCTCGCCCCGTTAATTAATTATTATTAAGATTCTTTGTATAAGTTTTGTTTATGCTGTTGTATGTATTTATTTATTTGTCTAATTTCTTAAATAAACAATATCATTACTAATTAATTTTTATTTGCGTACATCAGGCAACACTGCGCTACTGCTCATTACATAAAGAAACAGTTCCTCGGTGTTAGCTCTTGGTTAGTTCTCTTTTGCTGTGCTATCCTCTGAAAATCAAAGTAAGATACAGTTTTCTTTGCGACAAATTGAAAAAGTGCATCTTTTGTATTTGTAGATATAATAATTCATAAATTTAAGTTGTTGTGCATTTAAAATAAGTGAATAAATTGTACTTTGAATATGCAATATAATGAAAGTAAACACACGAAGACTAGCCAGGGTGTGCTGTTTGCGATGTAGCGAAAATTCTATGCGAACGCGCCATTTTGTATTTGGTTTCTTCATTTTCCACACATTCTGAAACGTGTAAAGTAGGGGAAATTTTCAACAAATTTATAAGCTTTGTTGATTTGTAATAATGTTAGAAAGTGATTATTGAAGTTTATGCAATAGTCGCATAATGTTAAAGGTATTTAAGAATAAAAAATATATGTGTGAAAGAAAAAAATCATTGAACAAAGTATGCAAATAAAAACGAAGACGAACATAGCACCCCTTCTGCTTCGTGTGTTCTTAATCGTCTTGCGCACGGTTGCATTTAGTAGAATGAAGCTGAAAGTGAATGAGCAAAATATAAATGGATTATAGAAAAGTTAATGTTGGCTTATGACTATTAAAAAGTGTAAATTTTCAAAATAATTTTGTGATAATTAAAAATAATAATTATAGTTTGGCATATGCGTGGTAAACAACAACTCAATGCAAGATGGAGAACAATTGTAATATTTACAATGTATACAGTACGCTTTTCCATGTACATACCCGCCAGTGCGACAGTGTTTCCACCATTATTCTTAAGTTTTCATTCATCAAAGTTCAAGGACTGAAGTGTTGAAGAAAAACTTTTCCATAATAGCTAAAACACGCTTCGTTTTGGTTATTCACATTTTAAAATTTACAAAAGAACACAGTATTTATCATTTTACTTGTTGGTTATACAAAAAACACTATAATCGATCGATAGTTAATAAGATAACATAAGAATTTATATGCTGACAAAGCTATACGTTCGTAAAATTAGAAAATTTCTGTAACATACGTATTGTTAAAAAAACACATAATAATTATTTTCATATATTAAGACTCGTGTAGGAAAAAAATTAAGTGTCGGAAAATTTTCATTGTAAAGAAAATTACGCGCAAATGACGTCATTCAAGGTCTTCCACAAAACACAAACGCATACTAGCAAAACTATTAAATTTCGTTACGTAGATGTTCTTTATTTGTTATTATTTTTCGTCTAATAAGAAAGCTGTGCTGACCGATAGCATAAAAGCTGGCGTGTCGTTATTGTTATTGTATTGCCTGAGAACAAATGTGTATACGCAGCAGAAATGACAAAACGGCGAGCAAATATTTTATAAGTCTATATATTGACGAATAATGTGGATTGCTTTAAAATCAGTTTCCGTTTTATGTCTTGGATAAATTACTATAAAATATTCGAAATAATAGTTTATATATAACTACGGTTTTCTATTTTATCTAGACCATGTAAAGGAAAGCGGGTATATCGAATTACGAATATCAAAACAAACATTGCGCGTTAATACGGTGGTGGAAGCAGCATGCGTATACGCTACTGAAGGAAAATCTAAATCTAGAAAATCCCGTTGAACAGACAAGAAAACATTTTTAAATACTTGAATATTTTTAGTGCATAAAGAAAAAAAATAAACAGTTATAGACGACTACATCGATTTTTGCCGGCGACGTCGGTCAAATAAGCTTTGATCATGTCGGTGCAACAATTTTGTTTGCGCTGGAATAACCATCAACCGAATTTTATTTCGGTATGTTCCTCTTTGCTACATAATGGAACATTAGTGGACGTTACCTTAGCAGCAGAAGGTCGACAACTTCAAGCTCATAAAATTGTCCTCTCTGCTTGCAGCTCATACTTTCAAGTAAGTTTTTTAAAGAAATGAAAAAATTTACGAAATTTTACCATACTCCTTTATCTTTAGACATTATTTACATCGAATCCCTGTCAACATCCAATTGTAATACTTAAAGATGTCCAATATGATGACCTTAAGACTATGGTTGATTTTATGTACTATGGGGAAGTGAATGTATCACAAGAGCAGTTACCACACATTCTAAAAACGGCTGAGATGCTTAAAATCAAAGGACTTGCTGAAATGCCCACCGATCCTGCCAATTTAACTAAATCTGAAAGTAAATCATCGAATGAACCCACCGATTTAGTGGGTAGCGGTAGTACTGGCAGTAACGGCCAAAGTAGCAGTGGGGTTACTAGCGGTGGCATGGGTAGTAGTGCTGGTGGTAGCATAAATGAGACTCTCTGGGAGGTAAGTAAACAAAAAATGTATTTATTTCTATAAATTAATTATAAATCTTCTTATATAAATAGAAATTTGTTATTGGAATATACATAAACGTATTATGTTTTTTTCTTATCATAGCCCCAGCATCACCATGGCCAACACGGTGAAACCCAGTTTCAATCTCATCCCCATCAACAACAACAAAATAGCCAAACGCAAACATCACAACAGCAACAACAACATCATCAATTAAGACGTACTCCTTCACCATTAGGTGCGGGAGCTTCACCGGCAACTAGACGAAAACGACTTCGGAAATCTTCAAATAACGGTAAATTACAACAATAAAATAATGTTTTTTTGTTACGTCTAAATTTATAGAAGAAAAAAAGCATAAATTGTATGTTAAAGGTTTTTATAATCATATTTGATTTCATATTCCAGGATCTGGCGATCGCACTAATTCGGACGACCAACATAATACTTCTTTGGACAGTGGAAATAATACTGGTGGCATAAGTCTTACACAGATGAGTCAAATGTCGTTTGGAACCACAGGTGGTACAATCAGTGGCATACCAACACACACATTACACGCAACAAAATTGTTAAAAGAATCGTCTAGCACCGAGGTTGAACCACATCCACAGGATGATAGCTTGGACGATGGTCATGGACATGTACACATGCAAATTGTAATTAAAATTTTGCTCATTGTATTGATTTCTTTGATAAATATATATATATATATATATGTTTTTTTTTTCATTTAAATAGAAACCTGAAGTTGACATGAGCAGCGTTCAGCAATCAATGCCATTGGACATTTCTGCTGCTACAACTCCTTCGGAACATGATGCACCAAATTCTCAATCATCTCATTCTGGTAAGTACTAATTTTAGCATTTATATTTCATAGTTTGCATGACGTCGGCTATATTCATAAACTTAAGTGTAGTTCTTATTTAATTTTTTGTTTGAACAAATAATTATTGGTGAAAACTTAAGAATATCATAACGTATCATAATATATCATTCCTTGCAAAATAATACCACGTTTTTTCAAGCTAATTGAAATTTTTGTGGCTTAGTAATTTCTTCGAGTGTATTTAACACGCATACTCGGTATTCAAACAAAGGTTTATAGTATTTTTTAAGAGTGGGGTAAAAAGTTCATCTGAATATTTTAACAATGTTGATAGGTATACTGCTGATTGAGGATTTGGTCACCTGATAAATATATAAAAAATGTATATTGCTCACATTTTTTTTAAACTATTCTATATATTATTAATTTGTGAAATTACAAATGTGGTGTGTTGCAGGTTTACAAAAATGCAACCTACTTTGAAATTTTTCTTTTGTATAGCTTAAAAATTGTTTAAAAATATCGCAAGATTTTCAACTGCAAGTATTTATGATAGTAATGTCTTATGCAAATGATATTTACTTTGCTGGTCTGTTACAAATTTTACCATTTTTCAATATGAATAGCAAACTTAATTGCACATAAATGAGATAACCTTAATCGAAAATAAATTGGTATGGTCAGTAAAATCTTAAATCAAATTAAGCTGAAGTATAATTGAGGAGGGTTTACAAAATGCAGTTAGTAATTGAGGTAAAATAATTACAAAAAAAAAAATTTAAATAAAAAATAGGCGTAACAAAAAGCCTTCACGAATGGAACGTTGCTTTGCAATGCGAATTAAAGTTTAGTAAATAAATGTATAATTACAAACTCTGTTAGAGAAACTTTAAAGGAAAATGCCTGGTCATTTTATTAGATTTATTTATGTGTCAAGTGTGAAGCTCTGTAAATGTGTATTACCCCGGTCAACAAAAAAATTATTTTTTGCGTTTCTGTTTTCATGCTCAAATTCTGATTCTAGACATTGAAAAACACTGAAATTTTTATTTTTATGTCTTAAACTTTGCGTTTGCCTGATACGAATAAGCCTAATTTGCCCATACGAACATAGAAGAAATACGAAAAAAATTCTACAAAAGAAAATTTTAATAAAAAAAAATAGTTTCCCCTTACTTTTGGTGTAGGCGAATCTGAAATTGAACATGCAGAAGTCAGACCCAAAAATTGTGTCGACCGGTGTTAAGTCCGTCTGCCTGTATGTACGCGAACCAATCCCTAATTTTTTGAGATATCTATCTGAAATTTTGTTGACGTTCTTTTCGACAGACATAGCATATAGCAGCCATACAAATTGATTGATGAAAATCAAGTTGCTGTATGGAAAACTTTTTTATTCGGCGTGATATCTTCACGAAATTTGGCATGGATTATAGTCCAAGGCAATGTTACAATCTCCGAAAGAATTGTTCAGATCCGACCACTACAGCATATAGCTACTTGACTGAACAAAATCAATTTCATGTATGAAAACTTATTTTTTTGGTGAAGGGTATTATAGCTTCTGTGTGATGGTATATTTCTTCTACAATTTCCTCTCCAATAACACTCCATTTCAATTTCATAACGCATTCATACCTTATATTTAGACTCGATTTGTTGCATCATTCATACCCTCTTCATAAAATCGTTTAGATGTATTTAATAATTTTTTTTTCAATATTGAGGCTGCAAATTACATATAATATAATATAAAAGGTGAAAAATAAATAATTAAAAATATAAATATTGGATTTTATAAAAAACGGTGTAGCAGTAGTTTTATTTATAAAGTAATAATAACAATAACAATAGGCATAGCAGGAGAGTAAGCTAACGGCAAAATGTAAAATTTAAATAAATGATTAATATAATAATTTGTTTTAATTTGTATATATATAAGATAATAGTAAGAAAAATACGATTAAAAAACGGCAGCTTAAAGTATACGTAAAGCTGATCATATTTTATGAGACCTATCTTGCTGTACTTGGGGATCAGGAGAGAGCTATGCACAGAGTCTGATCAAAATTATAAATTTTGTAATTACCTCATTTGTAGCAAGCAAAGTGTGATCGTTGCTGAATAATGTATTAACGAAACTTAAATAGCGTTGATTTAATGCTTTTGATTGAAAAAAAAAGTAGCTTGAGCATAAGCGTCCCTAATTTTTTCATTACTTTCAAAGTCTCTGTTTCTCTCTCAATCCAATGAACGAGCCAATTTGTTGGTGTATATTTTGTGATAAAGTAATTGTAGTTAATACCTAGTTAGTTGAAATAACTTAATAACAAAAAAAAAAAAAAAAAAAAAGAAAATGTAATAAACTGAAAATAAAATATTGCGATACATCAAAATAGTTGCACTTAATAGTGGTGTTAGTGAACAAAAACAAAAAAAAAAATACAAAACCTCTCACACTCTCTTACTCTCTCTCCCCTTCCCAGGTCTGCAATGGACGGTCGTTGACTCGAACTATTCACGCTTTTCGCTATCGACTTGTCAGCCAAATTTGATTGGCAACGGCGGCGGTAACGCTGGTGGTAGCTCTGGCGCACAACAAGCAAACGCATCAGCAAATAGCGATCAACAGCAACGGCAGCAACATGCGCAGGACTCAGCCCAACAAGCGGCTGCTGGACAACAGCAACAGCAACAACAGCATTTTCAGCAGTTACATTATCAACAGCAACAACAGCAGCAGCAACAACAACAGCAACATCAGCAACAACAACAGCAGCAGCAGCAACAACAACAGCAGCAACAGCAACAAAATACCGCAACCACATATTCACCACAGATCATCACTGTGAATAGCCTAGTCAGCAATTATGGAGGAGCCGGTGCGGCGGCACAAAACCTATCACCAACTTCACCCAATGAATCGAGCATGGTACAATCGGTGTACAGTCAAGGTCCTACGCCCATACAATCACCAGCACATCCCAACGATGTTACAGGCAATGCATCTGGTAGTGGTGGTAGTAACGTTTCCACCGCCAATGCCACAGCAAGTGGTGGTGGTGCTGGTAGTGGTGGCGGTAACGCAGCTGGTGCTGGCGGCAGCAGTAGCTCAAGCGGTGGCAATACAACTAGCGGCAGTGGTGGCAATCAAAGTGGTAAACGTAAACGTTCTGTTAATCCGCAAGGTGATGAAAATTTCATACGCGCTTTGGAGGCAGTACGTTCCGGTGGTATAGGTTTCTGTAAGGCTGCACGCCTCTTCGGCGTAAATAATCGTACATTATGGTTGGAATACAAGAAACGTGGCTACCCCGTATCGCGACCCAGCATTAAAGCACGTGTCGTCAAACAAGAACCAAATATGTCACCATCACCACCACCACAGAATACCGCTACCGATGATACGACCAATGAAAATTATGAACATCTAACAGCCGCAGTTGCTGCGGCTGCACAATCAGCTGCATTGAATATGCAAATACCGCCACCAGCCGATACACCCACACCATCGGTGATGTGTACACCACACCATACGGGCTCAACTAGTGGTGCCGGCGGCGCACACCCCGCAATGGGCGTAATGAACTTTTTAGATCCGCGGCATATGGACTTTTCAGCGGCTGGTCTGCATACAGTGTCCAGGCAGCGATATATTGATGCGACCGGTGTCGGTCCGGGCACCGGCACGGGCACAATCAATGTTAATCCGGCAGCTGCAATGAATTTACAAAGTATTAACTTCAATTCAATATAGAATTCAGTTTCGGGTGCAAATACTGCGACGACGATTTCGATGCACCTAGCAGCACAACAGCATCATCAGCAGCAACAACAACAGCAACAGCAAACGGTAGCAGTAGCCGCCACCACACATACACATCCCATAACAACAGCCATAATACAAACAACAACACATCCCACACATCATAGCATTGCAAGTGTGACTGGTGCGGCTGGTGTAGTGGGTGGTGCTGGTGGTGGTGGTGGTGGTGGCAATCATACGGTATTGGCTCACTCACATCCACTGGCGCTCGCTCATAGCGGTGCACCAGCTGGGACAGCGCTCTTCATAACATGAACTTAAATGAAATAAACCAAAATTGGTCATCCATTAACCAGATAGTCATAGGCAGAAAATGGCAATACAGGAAATATAATTCAACTGAATCAAATTCATCGAAAAAGCAGCAACAACACATATATACATATATACAAAGAGTGTTTGCGGTGTACAGAAGTTGTGGCATTTTGCTCCTTTGCGAAGCCATAGAATACAATATACATAAGTCGCGGTACCTATGTATTTTAATACCATTTTATCAGAATGCCCATGTGAAAAATTGACAGTCGAATTTCACATTTTGGTGCACCGCAAAACACTGATGTGTAACAACTATTATTGATAACAAAAGTGAAATAGGCACACGCGCGTAGAGCGTAAACTCGAAATTGTTTGCAGAAAAGTAATAATAATAATTCATAAAATACCCTAAGATCGTCTGTAGCTTAATTAAGTAAATATTTTTTAAAAATTCTTGGCAAAATAATATATATATATATAATACCTTTACAACCATACACATATATATATATATATATATATATACACTAAAATAATGTTAAAGTTATATTTAAAGTTCGCAAACAAAGAAAAAAATTACTGATTTTTAAATTGTCATTTTATTATAATTTGTATATTAATTAATTTTTTCTTATACAAACAACAAGTTCTATCATCATTCATAGTTAGTGTTGGTAGTTATAACTATTTGCAATCGTGAACTATAGTAGTGCATAATGTAAATTGCAATTAAAATTATTCTGACATACACACCAACAACTCAACAAACAAGAAGCAGCAATGCCGCATCAAAGGCGTTCCTTAAGAAAAAATTTTGAGATCAATTTTTTTTTTTTGGTAGTTTTAGGAAACAATTTTTTGTACAGTGATGAAGAACAAGCAAACGACCGTGAAAAAAATATTTAAAAAAAAAAACACATACATACACAAAGCACACCAAGCAGTGCGCCATCTTCTGATAGACTTAACTGCGTAACTATTTATTATAAAGAAAAAATTTTGTTTTTTTAACTAAAAATAAGAATTAGATTGCATATTTCAAACCAGCGAAATTAAGAATAAAAGTATAAATACAAATGATATCCTTAAATTTAATAAATGTGCGATATACGTGTAAAGAAATAAATATAAATAGTTTATAAAAAAAAAAATATACACGATTTGGTATAATTTTGCTACATGAGTTAACACTAAGAATAGCGTTTAATTGAGGTTTGCACCGGAACCTAAGGTCTATTGTGCCCTAAACGCTAAGGATAGATAATTATTTATTTTTGACTCCTAAAATAACGATCCTGTTTAGTATTGACAAAGTGTTGAGGGGCGGAGTAGAGTTAATGCCTGTAAAATAAGGCCCTTTTTTCTGAATTTTTTTTAATGAAACTGTTAAAATCAATTTTTATAAACCAATGGTACGTTATACTATGACATTTGAGGAATATTTTATTAAACTTTCATGGACAAATATTAAAATATATAACAATGGCAGCAATTACTCTGGAGTCTCGTCTCGGAAAAAGTTGAATTGCGGTGCGATCATCTGAAATCAAACAAAAAAAAGTATATCGTTATATAATCGCTTTGCTCAGGTAATGCCGGGGCTTTTTCACTTTTTGGGAACACTTTGTAGGAAAAACGCGATTTTTCGCAAAAAAAAATCGGTTAATTTGTTAGTGTAAAATGAATAATACTAAAAAATTAAAAAAGAGAACTCTCCAGCGTTATCTCGTAAACTACGATCGGTGCAGTATTTGAAGTTATGAGGGACACCAACTTTGAAAACGTGAGTGTGGAGAAAACGCTTTAAAGTTTTGAAATCTAGTGTAAAACGTTCATAAAATAGGTATAAGAATATCCATTACATCATCAATTTTGATAGAATCGACTTCGAAATTCGAAAAAAAAATTTAAAACCCTACTCCGGCCAAATGAAAGAATTAATGTTCATAAAAGCTTATAAACAGACCATTTTCAGATTGACTCTCTCTCAGAAACTTCAACATCAACCAAGTGTTAGGCCCGAAACATATTGTTCCAATTCCCACAACAGTTACCGAAATCAACTTTCTACTTTTCTTATCGATTTTTTCCACTCAGCCATCAAGTTCTGCACTTTCTTTATAGCAATCACTCAATTATATTCATAGCTTCCCGCTAATTAATTTACAAACTCATTTATTTTTAGATTTATCCCAGCCGTTAAACGCTAATGTGTCCACAATTGTCGGTCAGCCGGAATGTTCGCCACGCGCTGTCAATATGGCCATGTCGGCGTCACCTACCAGCCTACTCTCTCAACAACAACAGCAACAACATTCGCCAGCACAGTTGCAACATCAACATTCGCAACCACAACAACAGCAAATGGGCACGAAACGCAATCGTATATTGACACGTCAGCCGCGCGTTAAACGCGATAGTGATAGTCTTTCAAATGCTCAGGCTTCACCCGAACCCAATCAGGGATCTTGTGTCGATTTCGATCCATTTAGCAATTCGCCCGGTGGTAGTTCACATTCAAACTACATTGCAGCACATGCACTGCAATTGCATACACATCCCAGTCACCATCACCTGTTAACAGTGCCGCCGCGTATTGAGCGTCACTCATCTGAACCGGCACCCAGTTTGACACCATCCTCACCACATTTGCTCTCCGTACCGCAGAGTACACCTTTCCTGATGAAACAGCATTCGGATCCATTACTGCCCACTCAACATTCACTTAGTGGCGCTGGCGCATTAATTGTCGGTGGTGGTGGTGTTGGTGTTGGTGTTGGAGGCACAAATCCTTTCGCACCGCTACATCGTCAGTATTCACATCCACTTTCGTGTACAACAACCAGTAGCGCTAACAGCAGTGCCGGTACTAGTCATATCACCAGCGTTCCATTACATCATTCACACCACATATCACTACCTGAATCAATGTACACGTCCGGCGGTTCACCACCACCTGTTGGTTCGTCGCAATATGTCGTGCCGCAACAAATTGTGTCCAGCGGTAGTAGTGGAACGTCGAATGAGTTAAGCAGCGGTGCTTCATCAGCTAGTCCGTCAAAAGTGCTCAGCATACCACACTTCACCACTACTTATATTGATGACAGCGACTCGCGTGGTCGCAACAATTCACCAACTACACCCTCATCCATTGCCGGCGTTCATACTAATACGTCAAGTATTAGTTCAGCACCCTTGGAGCGTGTTCGTTCAACGGAATCGAATACACCACCACCAACAGCAACAACAACAGGCAAGATTCGTAGTTCGAAATCGACATCTAGTGTTATGTTATCGGAACGAATGAGCAGTTTGCATCCTGGAACCGCAGCCATGGGTAGCAGTTCATTTGAACACTTACCTTCGTTGCGTGTCAAGAGCGAGGAATTACAAAGATCAGTGTCTTCTCCACAAGTAAGTGCTTTTAAATTCAACTAATAATGTTAGTTATACTCTCGCAACATGTTCTGTCTGTTTGTCCGCCCGTCTGTACGTGCAAGCGATAACTTGAGGAAAATTTGAAAAACCTTGATGAAATTTGGTATAAATAATAATAAATAAACTCCTCAAAATCATTAAATTTAACAGCCAAGCAGCTGCGGAAGGGCTTTATAGGAGACGGTGTCAAAATTGAACGATGGGCGTGGAACTGCCCACCTCTAGGTAATATTCCATATCTCAAGAAAAAGTTACGGGTGAAATCGGACAAAAACCACGCCTATTTCTCATATAACAAAATTGTAAATATCATCTGATTGATTCACATTCTAGTATGGAAATCAAGCAACAAGTAAAAAAGTCGGGTCAATACTTCCCTTAACCTCCATATACTTTATATGAAGGCTTTCGAACTTCCAGTTGTCTTCATAACCCAAGCCCAAACCTATATAGTGATTTTCGACTTTTCACCTGCCTTTAAACCCTTTATTTCGGTCAAAATGTGTTATTTTAATGAAATTAAATGTACAATTTTCTTAAAAGTTATCTTTAGTGTTGAATTTAAACAGAATCTAAGAAAATCTAAATCTCATATCTCTAATATAATAAATTAGGGTTCTCTGGTTCGGATCTTCGGTTGAGTTTATAACACATATTTATAACTCATTTGAGGTTAATTTAAATATGGTATAAACATTTATTAATTTAAATTTTTAATACAAAGTTTTACCAACTGCTGAAACCGCAAGAGTATAAAATGTTCGCCCTTCTTTCCTTGTTTAAAAAAAAATACAGTTTTTTATGTCTCCTTTCAGACCTCTCGGGAGATCATCACTTTGGAGAATCCTCGTTCTAGTCATTGTCCCGTTATACGGCCCGGGCCGGCACTGGGCTGTAATTTTTGTTGGAACACTATAGATGGGCATGGTAGAATTTTGCGGCGCAAAACCAAATACCACTGTCCCGAATGCCAAACGAATTTATGCATTGTACCATGTTTTCAGGAGTATCACGAACGGCAAAACAGTGAAGCGGCAAACACTTCAACCGGCAATGATGGCAATAGTAAATCTTACTCAGGTACCACTGGCAGGAGTGGAAATAGCGGCAGTGGTGGCAATAGCACACGGCTTTATTCCAAAACCGAATCCATTTGAAAGCGTTAAGTGTGCTGCAGATATTTTGAAAACTATTTATTGTTGAACCAGCAGCAGTGGCTGCAGGAGATCAAAAAAAAAATTGTTGTTTGTAAGGTGGGCCAAGTTAACCTTTGACTTTGGTTCAAGGGTGTTCATCTTTTAAGTCCCACCTTTAATTGAAAAAAAAAAATAATATTAATCATAATATCTTGGCTCCACTAGTGCAAATTGAATTTGCATGGAGTGCAAGATATCAATATTTGTATTCGAAAAACGAAAGAAAAAATGCTGCAAATGCAAATAACTAAAGAGGTTATGTACTTGAAGCCAGATTTGTATCAGCGTGTCATTTTGAAGACTAGTTGCTGTGCAACAAAGTCCATTTTAATGCACCAGCGTATGTTGCATGATGAATTTTGTCAGTGCAAATGGTAGTACAATACTGTACAATGGCGTACATTTTTTTTGTGAATCTTTTTGGTATATATATGTATGTATTTAATGAGCGTGAGCTTAGTGCTGCATACATTGTTTACGCACCAAGCATTGGTACAAAAGAAATATTTATATATATTTTTCACATATTTTATCTTTAAAATGAACAACTCACTTTTTGAATGTAAGCTGTTTTAATGCAAAAGAAAAACTAAAACATATAAACAAACATAGGTAGTCAAATGCATACTAAAAAACGGGTTTTGTTAATTGCTGCCTCACACAATTCCGAGGGCACGCGCAGTGGAAAAATGCTGTATTTAGAAATTTTTAGGAAACCATCTATGGGGCCTGAATTAAAAACCGCGTGCCATATTGTCATTTATTGCGTAAGAGTGATGATTTGGCTAGGCAATTATTTATTTTAAGCTTTATAATTTACTTATATATACATTTATACATACATATGTTGGTATGTAATCACATCCTTGGTTTAATCGTTGCTCAGTGTTTTTTTTTTTGAAATCTTTTCTTTAACATACGATTTTCAGCAAAAAGCATTGTTACTGTGTGATGCAAAAACAAAAAAAAAATTGATTTCTATTGTTATTGCTATGCATTAAAAAAGCAAAAGCAATATTTATTTGCATACACCTAATTCTGTTTTTACGCTGTAGTTTGGTTTCAGAAAAACCCGTGTAAAAAAGGATTTTGTTCCCTTAAAATTGTGCTTTTTACAATTGCTCTGTCCAGTAAACTAGCTTGTATCCCCAAAAAAGGAATGTCGCTAAATTTGTGATATAATAATATTTTGCAAAAATAATATCTGACAAATAAAATTTAAGTCCAAAAAATTTTTAATCTGCTTAATTGTATAAAATCGTAAAAAACTAAAAAAAAATTATTTTGGTCCATTTTTTTTTTTTAATTTTTTTTAAGTTTATTTTTTATTATTTTTTTTTTATTTATAAAAATTGTTTCTTTTTTTTAATTTTAACAGTTTGCAAATTTTTATTATTGCATGTTAAAGTCTAAATTTGTATATCCATAAAACAAAACAGTATAATCTGCGCTATTGCCGTATGCTACTTTCAGGTTAAAAGCAACACTTATAATCCGGTCAAAATAGACATTCAAGGTAACTTCACTCTTATTTTCTCTCGAATTTAGTTTACTTAAAATGCTTCTTAAGCAATTGACCCAGCGATCGTGCTTTAACGAAATTTTACTTAGATAATTTAATTTTCCTAAGTTTAGTAAAACATTTATTTTATTTGTTTTAATTTGTTTTTAACACAAAAAGATCTAATAAACCAGGGTAGATAAAATTTCAAAATAAAAGAATTATAGTACGATGAAACTCATTGCAAAAGTAAGATAAAATAACAAAAATGAAAGCAAAAATAATTTACAGGCGATCTATAGTCGGTTGCCTTTTGAAGGGTTAAAAACGGTTTATCTCGATTTCCGTCAAAAATCAGAAAGTTCTATGTAAAAAAAAAAATATGGCAAATTCGTAGGTAATAAAAAGATCTACAACTTTTGTTTTCGACACGTTTTTCAAATAACCTCTAAATTCACATATATGAAAATTTAAATAACCCACTTTTTGCTTCTTATTTTAATCTTTTACGAAAATTTATTTCCTTCACGAAATTTGGGGTAAACTAAAATTTTTATTTCCCAACCATGCTGTAATTTATTTGTTTTCAAATATTTATTTTTTCTACCTTATTTTAGTTATTTATCTGAAAAAACTACAAATTTTCAAATTTAAATTCTCACGTAAAAATATCTGCTCTTAAAAGGCTTTCTTTTTTGATAGTAAAACACTGGCCTATAATTCAAGCTTTCAAATTGAACGTAAACAAAAAATTTTAGGTAGAATTGTCGACAAGTACCTTGAAACTAGTATTTGGCATAAGCGTTTGTGAAGGCATTTGTCGATCTCTTGTTTCTATCTTTTGATAGCAGTTCTATTGGTAATAAAGTCTTTACTACAGTGACCAACAACGGTTGATATATATTTAATAAAAAACAAAAAATAAATAAATAAACAAATAAACATATTCGACCTTGCAAAGTTTACTACCAAAAACAATTGTACAAGTAAACAGCTAAATAATTGCTAGCAAAGCCCTAGTTCTTACAGAAAAAAATTATGTTTGTATATCAATATTGAATAGTGGGCACCAGGCAAATGTGGTTTCATTTAAATTATAAAAACTAGCATTACGCATAAACTTGCATGGGCATTCATATGAAATAATTGGAATGTACACGTATGTACATACATATGTATGTATGTGTACGAAATTGTTTAATAAACATTATTGTTAAGTAAAATACCTCATTTTAGATTTCATTTATCATATTTAGTTTTGTGTACATATGTAGGTATATACATGTGTATATATGTATGTATGTACATGTGAAATTTCAGACGTCTAATAGAAAACTGATAAGCATGACCAATTAAATTTAGTTGCAATGTTAATTTTCGCAACTAATTTCGCGATTAAATGTTCAGAAATGTACAACAACAATTGACACTTAATTTTATTAAAAAAAAAATTATATATGTATACATTATAATTATGTAAGTTTGTCTCGCTGTTAAGACAGATTTCAGTTTTACTAATCAAGTCAAACGAGTATGTAGTCGAAAACTCGGAAACATAAACCAAATTTATACAATTATTTTACAGTCATATAATTTATTAAGCAACAACAAAGTTTAAGTTATATTTATATAAAATATGTTTGCTGAAATTCGTTAATATTATATTACACAAATTCTATATTATATTTAGTTTTAAAAATTTGAAAGAATTAACGAAGGAACACATTTTATGTGAGCAACCATCATAACATAACACATACATATAAATGTATGTATGTATTTATGTTTGTAATACGATTGAAGGCAAATGCCGGCGAGCATGTACGTATGTAGTTATATTTGAAAGATTTTTTTTATTTGGTCAGCTACTTTAATCTTAAAGTACCTGATTATAACTTTTAAAAACCATTTGTAACACTACTAAAGAACAATATATGACAACTGTTGTCAAATAAAAACAAATAATTTATGGTTGTTGTTTATTCATTTCTACTATGTGGTATTGGTAATTTTCTAACGAAGAGTGGTTGTCAAGGTTTATAAATATACATAATAAAGATGGAAATACTGAAAAAATTTACTTACAGAATGTGGATGAACAATACTTGATTTCAGCTAAGCTTACGGGCACTTAAGAGAGCCAGTCATAAGGTTTGCAAAAAAACAATAAAAACCAGTAAATACCTATGTTAAAATGTAAAATTAATTGTGTACAACTTTTCATCAATAACCACAATTTTTTTTTATTTTTTTGTGTATAGTAGTAATATAATTAACTTTACTAAGATACAAAAACAACAAATCTTGGTCAGGCTAAGCTCTGATTAATTGTTACAAATAAACTAAGCTTTTTGTTACTATTCTATAGCAAAAAAGATATACATATACATATATTAGGGTGGGTGCTCTTGGTACTCTGAAATATAGGTTTTTGAACACCTCTGAGAAAGTCTCTACAAATATGAGCTCTTAATTGCAATGGGAAAGTTTTCCGCCTTACAGTTTTCAATTTTTTTCTTTTTATCAGAAAGAAAAGTTCATATCTCACTTCCAACTACTTGAAAAATATCTCGTTTCATAAATTATGTAGGAAATTAAATGCTCCACAAAATTGTTTTTAACGATTTTTTTCGTAAACCTAACAGTTTAAAAGACCATTTTGTACAGCAGTAAATTTTCTTAGCGAACTATGAGTGTTGCAATTTAAAATGATTTTTTTTCATTGAGTTACAAATTTCACAAGAAAAAATAACCACTATAGCATGTAGCTGCCATACAAGCTGTCCGATCAAAATTAAGTCCTTGTATGGAAAACTTTTTTATTTGATAAATTATCTTTACGATGTTTCTCATATATTATTGTCCAAGGCAACGCTAGAGTCTTTCATCATGTTTTTCTGATCGGACCACTGTAGCATATAGCTGCCTTCTAAATTGACGGAATTCAAAATAACCGGATTTCCATACACTTTTTGTCTATAAAACATGCTTCTGTGTACAAAAATGCGCCATAGAAAAGACAGCGGAAACAAAAGTAACGAGATTTATTCGTTTTTATAATTTGAAGTGTCTAATCTAACGTAATAAGTACGCTCGTTGACTTGTCAAGTCAGTATATGTTAGTAAAGATATTTAAATATAAGAAGCTGTTGCACTACTATTTTCATGAACACAACTGTATGTATGTACAAGTATTGTATATGCAAACGTATACTTTGTGGTGCAAAAGCCGAAACTTCAATTCAATTCACGTAACTGTTAATAGAATTTATAAACATATTTATATCATAGAACACGCAAATGAAATTCAAAGTAAAAGCATAGATAAGTATGTAAGTATGTCTCTACTTGGTTACCTGTATACAATTAGGCAAATGTACATGAATGAGCGGTTTGATTGACTCGATATAAGGAAGTAAAAAAGTAAAAAAGTTATAGTTCTTTGTTATATATTTCTAATAAAACAAAGCCTCAACCAAAAATTACATATGTATGTACTATGAGAGTACATATGTGTACGCTCTCTCCGACTACGCAAATGATTCGCAAATGATTTATTTTTTAACATATTTTGGGAAATACATTTATATTTGTTTGCAGATAACACCAAATATTTTGTTTAGCTACAGAGAAACTGTTTATATAAATATTTGCACATTAGGGTGGTTCTAACCATGATTAATAGCTCGATTATACTTAAGATTACGGTGAATTTAAAAGAAAATAATTGTTACAACAATAAAATTATTAAACTTAAGGAATAAGTAAAAGTTTTGCTTAAAAGGTGATATCCACTTGCAAGCTAGAAAACACAGGTTTTTACGTTAGTTTTTTTTTTTTTTTTGATAATGTTTTTTATTTATTAAATAACTAAATACAACTTATGTACAGAATTTAATGTGCTTTAATAACCAGTGATTTATTTTGAAAAAATTTGGATTCGCTTGATCCTTCAGCCGATCTCCAAGAACACCTCGGAAAATGGTATCTGGTGGTGGGAAAGATTTTTCTGCTTAAAATTAACTCAAATCTAAAAACAAACAAAAAAATATTATTACAACATATTAATAATCACAAAATGACAGTTTCCCTAAAAAAATAAGCGTTCTTTTAAAAAAATGTTCACTTCAGAGTGGCTTAAAAAATTAAATTGTTATAGATATTTCATGTTCGAGGATATTCTCCTAACCAACTCTAAAAACAGCGTTTCGAGAAAAAAGCGTTTAAAGTTTTGAGACCCGATTAAACTAACTTAAAAAACTCCTACAAATAAGCTCATATCTCTGAAACTATTTGCCGGATCAACTTCAAATTTGCGAAGAATATTTTGAAATATATGAACATTCGACATATTAGCAAGTCAATTTTTTGAAATTCACAAATGGATAATAGTTATAGTCGAGTGTTTGACTATGAAAAGATGAGTCGTGGATTAAAATTGCGGTAGAATCTATAGTTGTTTTTCCACCAAATTAAAAAACCCGTCTAGTGACCAAAAAAATAAGACTCTCGGATACTTATCTATTGTATATATATTTTTCCATGTTTTTAGTGTAAAAGAAACATACTTGAATTTACATATATCTAGTCAAAGACAATAACAAAGAGTATTAGGAAATGTTTCTTATTTCTAGAACAACTATAATTTAACATACACGGATAATATAATTGGGCCTTAACAAGACTTTTAATGTAATAACAAATACAATAAAATAATGACTAAATGTAGGTTAAACTACTCTCGTTTCTGTAAAGTAGGTATTTGCCAGCGTGTCTCTACAAACCTAATGTTCATATGTAAATAAAAACACAATGCGGGAATCACAAATAATGAGAGACTCAATTTGAGTACTGCATCCATAACTGGACGCTGTTTCTCTCCAAAAGCTAGTTTAAATTTAGTTTGTCATTTCGCAGTTTTCTTGTTATTGTAATTTTTATTTGAAAGCTTCGCTTGCATCAACAACAGTTGTGGCACTCTTATTTTTAGTTGTTCGGTGTATTTTCATATTAGTGAACACGTAAACTTTGTACGGATCGTTCTATGTGCGAATATTTGTGAATTCATGTAACGGTGGAAGTCAAGAAATCGTTTATTTACGAAGTAATACGTTTTAGCGATAGAATGCTGCGGTCTGTCTTAATTTTTGGTCTAACCATTCAGTTATTGGTCTTGGCGGTTTTTGCTTTGGATATCACACAAGTCGGTTAAATATCAAATTACCTATATATATATGTGTATATATATGCATATCACATGTGCATAATTAATATATACATAAATTTGTTTGTGCAGCTTCCAGATGACAATCAGCATTTCAACCGGACATTGGCGGGTATTATGCGCCCCAGAGTGGTGGGCACGCCTGGTCACAAAGAAGTTGAGAAATTCATAAAAAGGTGATTGCTTCGCATACCTATACATTTACTTTAACTGTGTATTACTTTCAGTGTTAATACTCGGTCTGATGTTTTCAAGATAAATATTATGAATCATGAAATCTTATATCTGTAGGATTTTGTAATTTCTTATGCTCTCACAATAAGCTGCGGCAATTTTAAAGTTGTATGCACCTAGCTAGTTTTCGTGCCACCCTAAAATAATGTTATTTGAAGCAAGCTCGCTATAACTCTGTGATAAAATAAGTTACAAAGCCCATATTTTGTACAAAGGCATACATCAGATGCCTCCCATGTTGTTGTTATAGCAGCTGACGTTTCTTCACCCTCCGAATACGTAGAACTAATTATAATACCCGCTATAGTGTTGTTTCAACTATAAAAATTGCAATAACACCAATCGGTTAGGCCTTTAACTGGACCTTTCCCACGATAATCAGATCTACGTAACCGGATTTTTATTCGACCAAAGTCTCGGCAGCATTATTCCCAATTATTTCAGGAATGTTTCCTGCCTCTACAACAACAACAACAACAACAAACATCTGTAGCGAACAAATTCGAAAATTGCAAGATTGACAACTGGTAACTTTAGATTTTTAGAAAGCTTTATATCGTAAGAATCGTTTAACACTTATTGTATTGTGCTCGTAATTCGATATCGAAACACTTAACACTGTTAACTTTGGCTGCATCGAAGTTATAATACCCTTCACAGCTGCATTTCTTATAGAATAAAACGGGTATAAAAAGGTCTTTATCTTGACTTTGATCGGGCAGTTGAAATGGTGGCTATGTGCTTTAGTAGTCCGATCTGGACAATGTGTTCGGAGATTATAGGATTGTCTTGGACAATAATAATAATTAATTTCGTAAAGATATCTCGTCGAATAAAAAAGTTTTCCATACAAGAAATTGATTTATATTCTATAGTGATCCGATATGGGCGATTCTAACAAATTAGCAGCTCCTTGGAGAAAAGGCCGTAATCCGTACGTCCAAACAAACCGCTTTCATACATGTAATTTTATTATTTTTCCAATTTCATTTCTACAGGGAACTAACAACACTCGGCTTTAGCACGGAAGTTGACCAATTTTCCGAAAGGGTCCCCATTTTAGGCAATGTTACTTTCACAAACATTATTGGTGTTTTAAATCCCAACGCTCGTGATTTTTTGGCGCTTGCTTGCCATTATGACAGCAAGTATTTTCAGGATGATCCCGGTTTCGTAGCAGCTATAGATTCAGCAGTGCCATGTGCCACCATGTTAAATACCGCTAAGACATTATCATCGTATCTTTTGGGCAACTTTAAAGACCGCAGCGATATTGGGTTAATGGTAATGTAAAGACCTTTAAAAATTTAGCTGTTGTAATAAGCATACCACAAACATTCTAGTTAATATTTTTTGATGGTGAGGAAGCTATTAAGGATTGGTCAGATACCGATTCGATATATGGATCGCGTCACTTGGCAGCAAAATTATCGAATACACGTACTTCAATGGGCCTAGGCCGCAGTATTGATCGAATTGTGAGTAGTTTAAAACTACTAGTACTAATACTTTTTGAATGTTAAACTTATTATATTTACTTTTGTATTTTAGGAAGTCTTAGTACTACTCGACTTGATTGGGGCCGCCAATCCAAAATTCTACAGTTTTTATCCGAATACTTATGGCTTGCATCATAGCTTGTCCGAAATTGAATTATCATTGTCAGCAGCCAGGCAACTTGAGGGAAAGAATCTGATGTTTATGAGACGCCCATCAACCGGCTTTGTCGATGACGATCACAGGCCATTTTTACAACAAAGTAAGTCAGTTTTTTTTTTATTCTGAATTATTTGCCTTTACTTCATTTATATACTTATTAGTAACGGGTTTTGTTTGTTTTCTATTTTTTGTTTTTATAACAGATGTGCCAGTTTTACATCTCATAACAACACCCTTTCCACCACAATGGCACACACCGAACGATAATGCGGCAAATTTACATTGGCCCTCCATTCGTAATTTTAATAAAATTTTCCGTGCTTTTGTCTATGAATATTTACAACGTCATAAGGAACAAGTAAACTTGCGAGCCGCATTCCGTTAAACATTTTATTACTTTGTCCAATAATAAAAATTAGTTCCATAGTAATAAAAAAATATCTTAAGTTTCTTTTCTTTGCTTATTTAATATTTCACAGTGTTGTTCCTTCTTCTTCTGCTTCCTTAGCAAGATAGTGCTGGTGGACCATTGCTTTAGCAAATGTTCCTGACCCAGGCGAACACTATTACCACAACACACCTAAAACTAAAAACCACCGATGCAAACGGGATTAGATAAAATCCAGGTAAATTCCGGTAAAGTAGAACCGGCTGTTTTGGGAATTGTGATTGTATGACTAGATAACCGCTACAACAACAACCACAACATACGTCTCCTAGAATCATCAATAAACAATATCAATCAGTACTAGTGTTCTTTCTAATACAAATATACAAAGGTATAGAAAAAACCCCGGGGCCATACTCTTGGAGTATGATGCTCTAGGTTAAGAAACATAATTTTTTTCTGTGATCCACCTAACAAAGTGGTTTTTTTAGGCAACTCAAAGGAGTTCTTCAACAATATACACCAATTGAAATAATATGAGGACATAACCCAAGGAAGTTAACACTCAACAGTCGAATTTTAATTTGAGATAAAAGAATATCAGGTCTATTACAGACTAACAGAAACAGAAATTATAGCAATCTTTACATTAAATTAAATACATTTTTTAAGCTAGAAATCATTCGTTTTATATCTAAACAGATTTATACAATGTGCACCGACATATATTGTACAATTAATATGTGTATATGAAATGCTTCTGTTATAATATATTCTGTTTCTGTTATAAATGCATTGTATTCTGTTTCTGTTTTCATTACGGTTATATATCATTTTGTTAATGCTCAGATTCGTACGGCAACACATGAGTCAGGAAAGTTTTATGAATGGACGAATGTACCTTCCGGTTATATAATTCTTTCGTTTGCTGGGCGATTGAAGTATATAATTTAATTTTAAAAAAATAAGACATCCGCTGTTAACAATTTTAATTATAGACCAAGTTTTGAAGATAGAACATTTGTGTTAATTATGAAGACGGCCTATATAACTGCTTCTGAAGATTCTCTAATTACAAAATTTGCAGATTTGTAAATTTCAGTAATGTTAAATTGCCAACTATTTTATATACATATATTTTTTAGTTATACAGGAAATCCTACTATATGTGAAGCTAAATGCAACATTGCTATAACAACGTGCTTACACTACAGATTTATGCCACATTGAAATTGCAAACCTTTAATTTAAACTCAAATACATAATCCATGAGTTAAATTTTATGCAAATAGATAATCAAATGGAGCCACTAACTCAGTATATAAACGTTAATAATTTTTTGTTATATATTTTATAAATAAAATAACAAAATTAGGATATCTTGATACGCTATAAAAGGCGAACGATTAACTAACGCCAGTGTAAGCTACTGTCAACGTTTTTACTGATGACATCACGGCGTACTTAGCAACCATTTCCAGTGGTTTTATTTTGGTACTGAGTTCATGACTGGTTTTGTTGTGTTATTTTTAGGCATTTTGTGATCGGCGAATCAGCATAGCAAAATAAAGATTCTTTTGCTATTGAATGTGTGAAAACTCGGGTAGGTCATTATGACCATTTCTATTAAATTATAAAAGACTTAAATGTGCCAAATGTATAAATATATGTGAATAACTATCAGAACCTGTTTTGTTATTACATTTAAGAAAATAAATATAAGCTAGGTAAAAGTTTCTACCAGTCGACGTGTATATCAATTTTTTAAGGTTATGGTTGTTTGGTGGTCGCGCGGAATAAGATATCTAAATATGAAAATTTAGAATTTATTAAGTGTGAATTATAATTTAAACAAATTTTACTCAACTTACTTTTTTTTGCATATGATTTGCCCAAAATTCTTGTGGAGCAACCTTCCACAGAGAATCAAAGAATCTAAAGCAATTCTTATGTTTATTTTTTTGGCTTTTGTTTTTTTTTTCTATGCGTGTATATAAGACCAATTTGAGTTGTATAATTACCCAATATTCTATTGAATTAAAATTCTTTTGTGGTTTCATTTATAATTTTAATACTTTATTATGCGTTGCTTTTGATTCATTATTTTTTAATATTATGTTGGCATTTCTTACGTAAACTAGAGTATATAATAATTCATATAATGATATACAATTTTATAACAAATTACTTAATATTAGGAATAAGATGAATTTGCTATTGGTATTTCTGCTAATATTGGCAGTACGACTTGCATCGGTGTTTATAGTCCAAACGTCGTATGTGCCGGATGAATATTGGCAGAGCTTGGAGGTGGCCCATAAATTAACTTTTGGGTAAGTTAATTTTAAGTAACATGCCAGATTTTCTCAATATATGCTAATTTTAAACAGATATGGATATCTAACGTGGGAATGGGTGCAAGGTATACGCAGCTATGTTTACCCCATATTGATAGCAGGTGTTTACAAATTATTAGCCTTACTTAACTTAGATACGGTGCAGTTATTGGTAAGTATGGATTTATTGTAATATATCATGATATCATGCTAACGTTACAATAATATTATATTTTATAGGTAATTTTACCGCGCATACTGCAGGCCACATTGTCGGCTTATTCAGACTATAGATTTTTTGTGTGGTCTGGTAAAAAGAAATGGGCGTTGTTCTTAGTCCTTGTACCGTGGTTTTGGTTCTATATTGGTTCACGAACTTTATCAAATACCCTAGAAACATCACTCACCACCATAGCATTGAGTTACTTTCCTTGGAGTGGGGAAAATACCACATATTTATGGTTTGCAGCAATTTGTTGCTTCTTAAGACCAACTTCAGCCATTATCTGGATACCATTATGTATTTATCATTTGCGAAAAAGTCGTTTATCAGCAAGTGATCTAATTTTCAAACATTTCTTGGTTATTGGGTAAGTGGTGGCGAAATATTTAACATAATATGCATATGTAATTGTATCCACTTTAATTTTCAAAAGGTTGTTAGTTGGTGCAGTTTGTGTTGCTATAGATACTTACTGGCATGGTAGGGTTATCATTACACCATATGAATTCTTCAAATATAACGTTTTACACAATATCGGCAGTTTTTATGGTTCCCATCCATGGTAAGTAAATTATACTTTTGTCTATATTTTAACTTAAATATAATATTTTTTTAATTTGCTTAAGGTATTGGTACTTCACTGTTGGCTTACCAACTGTTTTGGGCATCAATACAATACCATTTATATTCGGAGTCATTGATACCGTACGCTATAAAAGGAATTATCCTGTGCGTAAACAACTACTTATTGTCATTTTGCTGTCGTTAGTTGTATTAAGTACAGTTGAGCATAAAGAGTTCCGTTTTGTTGCGTCCTTATTACCTCTATGTCTCTACATAATTGCTGATACATTAACGCGTTGGAGTTATAATGCTTCCAGGTAAATTTAATTTTTTAACATTTATATCGCATTTCTTGAATTATTTATTCTTCATTTTTATAGAAGCATTCTTTGGTTTGTCGCATTGGTTATTGTCATAGGCAATGCGTTCCCAGCGTGGTATTTAAGTACTGTTCACCAGAAAGGACCCATAGATGTTATGACACATGTCCAGCAAATTGCCCGTAATTACAGAGATGAAAACAAACATCGTGCCAGCATACTCTTTTTAATGCCTTGCCATTCTACACCATATTATAGGTTTGTTCAAAAATTTGTATTCTTTCCTTATATTTATTTTTATTACAATCCTTGGTAAATATTATTTTTAGCCACGTACATGAAAACATTACCATGCGGTTTTTAACTTGTGAGCCTAATTTACAAAATACACCCAATTACGTCGATGAGGCCGACCAATTTTATAGATCACCAGTGCATTGGCTCCACTCACATATACCTTCGTACCCGCGTACTGCTATGCCCTCACATATTGTACTTTATGAACCTTTAGCACCGGTCATAAATGAATTTTTAATTAACTACAAAATTTTACATCGGGTCTTTAACGCTGAGGTAAACGAGAATATTCAGCCACAACATATACTAAATGAGTGGTCAAGAGTACTAAAAGACGAAGACGTAAACATTGAATCATTACTTAAAAATGTGCGCAATCGCATAGGCAAGAATATATTGGTATATCAACGACTTCTCGCGGGAGAAGAAAATACCTTCAATAGGGATGAGTTCAAGATACCGCAAGGATCTAAAGTAAAAGACGATATACCTAATGTTAACACTGATGAAGTATCTAAGCAGCAACACAATATGTTTAATTGAATAGCTGACAATATGAAAACAAATTAAAAAGGGCAGCGTGGAAGTACAGAATCGTGGGTGCTTCTTTGTTCGGTACACTTAGTGCCAACATAATTTTTGCATATATAACGATGCAATAGAAAATTAAATGATATTAAATATCAAATATCAGTTAAGTAGTGCAAAAAACAAGTTTGCTCTAGTGTTTATATACACACGTATATATATTTGTAAGTTTTATTTTGTGTTTATTTCTTTGAATATATTAACTATCAACTTCAAAACAAAAAACATGCAGATGCTATAAATGTTTACAAATCTTGTCAATGAAGTGTACATGAGTACGTCTATACAATAAATAATAAGTTTAAACCACCGGTGTATAAATGTATGTACATTTTTGCATGTCCAGAACTGTCACAAGTCTTTTATATTTAAAAAAAAATAGATTAATGTAGGAATTATATATTCATAAAACTGCGAAACTAAGTTATGACAATTTTACAATCAGATAGAGATTCTAGGAATTATAACATTTTAAAATAAAGTTTTACATTATAAAGAAATATTTATTTATTAATTGTGTAAATTTATTTATAACATTTTGCTTTCGATTGTGATGCTTTAATATTTGACGTTTTCAGAAAAAAGTGTTGATCGATCACAATAACGATTGAAATCGTTATTTAGGTAACTTAGTACAACACGTATAGATATGGGTGATCTACACTTTCATTCTGTAACTTTTGGTCGAAAATCAGAGATTAACGAATATCTTTTATTTCAAAAGAGATATTTGGTTACCCCATTTTTAACTTGCCTGTTAAAATTTGTTTTTATGACACTTCGATCAGGTGATCGTATCTTTAAAACTGACAAACTGTCATTTTATGATTATTTTTCCCTGTTTTTATAGCATATGGCATCTGTTATTTCAATAGTGTAGCACTATCACTTTTCAACTGAAATGTGAAAATAAAGTATATTTTAAATGTTTATTGGTTTGAATTATACACATAATTAAAATAAATTAAATTAGTTTTCTATAAACCCACGTTTATGAAATTACATTGTTTATCATACGCACTTAGTGATTTATCACGGTTTTATTCCATTCGAGGGAATAAAAGTTCCCTTAAATCTTGTATTACTGAAAAATAACATCCCTGGCTGCATTTTACTTTACTGCTGTAAGTCGGCACTGATATCACACACGAACGAACGAAAGAAAAATTAATTTGCTCAATCTGATTAATTTTTACTTTTCTACACTTTTGAATAGGTCAACATCTTTTTAAAAGATTCGAATTAGGAATGGCGGCTACAGCTAGATCACTACTAAAGCTTCGAGGTAAGAAAATTACTTTTAAAAAAGGTAATGCCACAGTGAAAATTATATAACTAGTAGCAAATTGTGTGCACCACATATACTTGGACGTAAAAATATGGTTTGATAATATTCAAAATCACTGTTAAAAAAAGAAATAAAGTTATTATAGTAAATAACGAATCATAGTAGGCTATATTGTGCTTCTATTACTCGAATGAAAAATATGTTTACATGTGACAGTGAAGTGGCATTGACCATATGTAAAAGAAAGGAAAAGTTAATTTTTCAATCATTCGGCCCTGCATTAAAGTTATGTGTACATACGTACATTAATACACATGAGTTTATATGTTACATATATATTTGTGCTATAACATCTGTTGGCATACTATTTTGAATACTTTTTTATTTCATAACTTGCTATTACCTACACATATATATAAAGAAATATTTATTTAATTTATTAATTTTAAATAGATAGTATCTCCGTTGGTGTACGTTTTGGGTCAGAATATGCCAAGACGCGTGGCAACTTGCAATTAACAGCTGATTCACGTGTTATATGCCAAGGCTTTACCGGTAAACAAGGTACTTTCCACAGCCAACAAGCTTTAGAGTATGGCACCAAAATCGTTGGTGGAATCTCTCCCAAGAAAGGCGGCACTACACATCTTGGTCTGCCAGTATTTGCTTCGGTAATTAATAGGATTATGTTAAATAGTTCACGACTAATGACTATGATGTTAAAAATATATTTATTATTATAGGTAGCTGAAGCGAAAAAGGCAACCGATCCTCACGCAACTGTTATCTATGTGCCACCACCTGGTGCAGCGGCTGCTATTTTGGAAGCTCTGGAAGCCGAAATTCCATTGATTGTTTGTATCACCGAAGGAGTGCCTCAGCATGATATGGTACGCGTAAAACACGCTCTATTGAGGCAAAACAAATCACGTCTAGTTGGTCCCAATTGCCCCGGTATCATTGCACCTGAAAGAGTAAGTCTACGATATAATTAAGGTTATTGGAAAATAAATTATACTATTGAGTGTATATACATGTACGAGTATGTATGTATGCACATATAATAATATAATTAATTATGCAGTTACCTAATATTTCATAATTTTCTTCGATAAGGCTAATCGTTTAATATACATATAGGTTAAAGCAAAGGTTCAAAGTGCGCTCAGATTAAACTTTATTCTACATACCATATACATAGGTGTATGTACAATGAAATTTATTTTGTAGGCTTACATAATGAATCAAAAGATCAGTAGGAGCGCTCTAATTAACCTACATGCAGCTATTGAACTGAATTTTATTTATAAAAATACATTTTTTTAATTAAAATAACTGTTTTTATTTTTTATATAAAGTAATTTATTTTTATTTTTTAATAATAAAAGTAATTAAATTTTTTTGTTTTTAATAATAAAAGTAATTATATTATTTATTTTTTAATAATAAAAGTAATTTTTTTTTTTTTTAATAATAAAAGTAATTTTTTTTTTTTAATAATAAAAGTAATTATTTTTTTTTTTTAATAATAAAAGTAATTATTTTTTTTTTTAATAATAAAAGTAAGCTTTTGAAACAAAATGCTAATTTCTATTATAACGTTTTAATTTTGTTATAGTGCAAGATTGGCATCATGCCTGGTCATATCCACAAGCGTGGTAAAATCGGTGTTGTATCCCGTTCAGGTACACTCACATATGAAGCCGTGAATCAGACTACTGAAGTTGGCCTTGGACAAACATTGTGTGTTGGTATCGGTGGTGATCCGTTTAACGGTACCGACTTCATCGATTGTTTGGAAATATTCTTGAAGGATCCAGACACTAAAGGTATTATTCTAATCGGTGAAATTGGTGGTGTGGCTGAGGAAAACGCTGCCGAATACCTGACACAATATAACACGGTGAGATTTGAATATATATTTTACGGAAACATTTTGCTAATAAAGTATTTTTTTTTTTTAGGGCATTAAAGCGAAACCGGTCGTATCATTTATTGCCGGTCTATCCGCTCCCCCCGGTCGCCGTATGGGTCATGCTGGTGCCATTATCTCTGGTGGTAAGGGAGGTGCTGGTGATAAAATTAAAGCTCTCGAACAAGCTGGTGTTATTGTAACCAGGAGCCCTGCACAAATGGGCAAGGAATTGTACAAAGAGATGAAACGTCTGGAGTTAGCCTAGAATTTAATGAAAAGCTAGGAGGCAGCAGCATAACTCAACCGTTCAACAACCGAAATGTACATTAAGGGGAAGGCACATATTAAAGCGATCAACTAAGTAAAAAGTTAAATGTGGAATATGACAGCTTGTTTGGTGATAAATGAAAGATGATTGAAAAAATATAAAATATAAATTATACGATTACTAAAGCAAATAAAACAAAAGTAAAAAAAAAACAAAAACGTACAGTGAACATTTCCATACCTAACTGCCGAGAATAAAATGCGAAAATTATGAACAAAGAGATCTTAAACACAGTTGCCACAATAATAAATAGTCAAACTAAATTCATAAAATAGTAAATATTACCACCAAAAAATTAATATACTCGGGCTCCAGCCAATATATTTATAATATAAAATGTAAGCATTATTTCTCTGCACTCTCTTAATGTTTTGCATGAACAAGTAACTACACTAAATATGCACTGAGTTAAGAATATACACAGCACTTTACACTTACATTACTTAAGCGATCGTGCAAACAATTTTTGCCTAGTTCAATACTTTTATTTCAAACGTGAGCTGCATGCAACAGCATCCTATTTGCCAGCAAAAAAAAAAAAACAAGTTTTTACTAAGCTAAATATGTTTAATTGAAAACTGATGAAAACAAGCGCAAATAAGAAAAATTAGTGTGCTATTTAACTATCTACAAACTAAAGTGAATAATGTTATAAATGTGCATATGTATGTATGTACTTTAATAAAGAATCAGAAATACAAAAAAAAAATTGTTTAATTTTTTTATTTTCTTAATATTTTTGCTATGTAAAATTAAACAGCGCACAGGGTGAGTCAAAAATAACATAGTAACTGAACATGAAGCGAATACAAAAAAATAAAAAGAAGGCATAACTTATATCCAAGAGTGAAAAATGTAGTAACAAAAGACTTAAGCAACAAACCATATTACATATCCTATATGCCATAGTGGTTCGATCTAAACAATAAATTGGAGGTTGTTCCGTTGCCTTGGACAACAATCTATGCCAAAATTTCGTGAAAATATCTCGTCAAATAAAAAGTGACTTGATTTTGATCGGTCAGTTTGTACGGCAGCTATATGTGATTGTGATCCGATCTTAACAGTTTGTTCGAAGATTATAGCCTTGCCTTGAACAATAATTTATGCAAAAATTCGTGAAGAAAATTGGTCAAATAAAAAATGTTTCTCTACATTAACTTGATAAAATGATATGATAAAATTTGATTGGCCTGTTTGTATGAAAATGACCAGCTTTTTGGGGAGAAAAAGACGTGTGCGATGTTTCATATCGATATCTCAAAATGTGAAGAACTAATTCGCATATATATGTATGTATATGTACAGACGAACAGACGGACATAGCTAAATCGTCTCGGCTCGTCTCGCTGATTATTTTGATATATACTTAATAGTTTCCGACGTTTCCTGCTGGATATTACAAACTTCGAAGCAATCATCAATATACCCTTTACAAGGTATACAAATTGTATATACAAATATTAGCTTTACATAAGCTTTAAAGCTTTAAACAGTGTATGTAAATTAGGTTTCAACGGAGCTAAAACTTTCTGAAGCTTTTTTTATCAATAACTGTGTCTGGCACAAAGAACAAGCTATCCATACAATATATTTATAAAAGAGATGTACTTTAATTAATAGCACCATTATCTACAAATGTATATCTTAGGCCATGCAAAGCTTTAAGAAGCGCTCTAATCACGTTTCTGCTTGAATTAAATCACAGTACGCCACATTCGATCAACAATATGCACATACACAAACACACAAAGACGGTTATAGGTATGATTATATGATGCTTTAAATTGCTCGATTTGAATATCAGTTGGCCTCTCAGCGCTCAATAGGCCAAATGAGTTGATATAAACGTGTTTTGAGCTTGGCCCAAAGTAAGAGACACAGTTGAGTACGAGTGCAAGTACACACACACACACTTACCCGTATATACCTATGGCTGTGCGCAACACCTGAGCCAAGTTAGCCGATTAGTGCTTGGTTAGTTGTGTTACGATCGATCTTGGACGCTGTTATACTCTGAAATGACTGACGGATGTGGAAAGACGCTCGCTCGACTTGTTTGCAATATATAATTAAGTTAAAATATTAAAAATAATAATATAGTTTTAAATGTGATATAATACTTAAAAAAAAAACAAATTTAATTAACGAAGTAGAGCTAAAAATGCAAAGAATATATACCTATATAAAATAACTATAAAAATTTGTAGCCGATATATATTCACGACAAATAGGTAAATGATAAGTTGTTAAAGTGACGTATAATACAAATACTTATCTACATAAATATGTATGTAGTATGTGAAGTCAGTAGTGATGTGATCGTGAGCTTAAGTGAATTGCACCCACCACATCAGAAATCAAATACTAGCAGATTTATAATTCTACCAAATAAGTACTTGTGTTGGTGTTATTTCATGTATCAAAATGCTCTTAAAAAATGCAAATATACATAGTTATATATGTATGTACATGCATGCATATATTAATATGCTTTCATAGCACTTCGGTGCAGATATACAAAAAATTATATTTAAATGTTATATATACATATGTACGCATGTATATACAGAGGTGCATGTGTTCACTTATTAGGCATATTTCATACATGCATACATATTAACGAAAACTTTTTGTATAAAAAATGAAATTATTCTGTCTTGCTTATTTAAATTAAGTATTTCTTTGAATAGGCATTACAAAAAAGTTGTGTTTGTAAGCAGTGATATAAGTAAACTCTACGCCGGCGCAGAAGCAATCGTTAGTGCCGACCACGATCGGAAAATCATACATACTTATAGCATGTATATTATATATATATGTATATATGTGTGCATGTATGTCTATTTGATCTTCGCGTATAAATTACGTGAGCGTTTGGTATGTGACGTGCAAAAAAGGTGTTCAGCTATTTTCATATGTACATATGTATCGTACATCGTACACATATTTACTATTGTTCTTTTTATTTGGTATGAGTATTATGTGTATTATAAAAGCGAAACAGCTGTAAGGTCATAAAAAGACAGTAGAGATGGGTTCGGCAATAAACTGATAGTTTGCTGAATAATGCATGTTTTCGCATTTAGTTAATTATTTAAACGAACAGCAATTAATTATCTGTGTACAAGAACATGGAAAATTGTTCGTTTAAATATGCAGTTTTTAGTATCAAAGATTTTAATTAATAAATTTAATTTATAAGTTTTAAAAATTATAGTTTATGAAATTATAATATTAAAACATAATAGTCTATTTGTTATTAAGAGTTAAAATATAATATATACATAAATATTTAGATGTTTATTAATTTCAGTTAAATATTCTCTATCACAAATGTCTTAACTCATATATGTAAAACGAAATAAAAACCATATTCTTTAAATTTAGAAATATTAAAACAGCTTTTGTAGAATATTTATTATGTGACTGAACTATTGATTCATGCAAAGTAAAAAACAAGTAAGAGTGGTTAAAAAATTTAAATGTTCAGCAAGATCGCAAAAACTAAAATATAAAAAACAAGAAAAAACGTAAAATTCAGTTGAAGCGAAATTCTAAAAATATAAAAGAACTTTATTTTGATAGGTCAGTATGGCATCTACATATACTACGCTACAGTGGTCCGTTATTGGTGGTTTAGTCAATTAGCAGCTTCTTAGCTTTCAAAACTAAGGGCTAGTTCACATATATACAGACAGACAGATAGATGTACAGACCGACGGACAGGGCTAAATCGATTCAGCTCGTCACGTCGATCATATATATACATATGTATGTATATATATACTTTATTGGGTCTCTGAATTTTTTTTTGGGTGTTAAGAACTTCGCGGTAAGTTAATACACCATGTTCAGTTAGCTAGTGGATTCACACTTACTCTAGATCGCACATTTCGAAATGTGGTATTTACCAAATTATATACATATGATTTTTAAATAAGACTGTTTTGCAGGTTGGCATTGAGATCTTAGCTCCAACCTATTTTGTTGCCATATAACGTGTAGAAGATTTTCCATCAATCGATATTTAAAATATTATATATTCTCGATAAGGTGCTACAAAACCAGTTAAACGAAAAAACTGGGAAAGAAAATTTTCACAAGCTTCTTTTTACTAGCAAATTTATTCGTCAAAACCGGTAGAACCTCCCAACTAAGCTTCATGTCTCTTTTTTCTAGACCTAAAATAATGGATATTTCATATTTTGAAGTTAAATTTTTATGACGAAAAAAAATTTTAAATTATATTAGATTTGGTTAAATTTTTAAAATTGTCACTCAGATTTGTAAAAAAATACAATCCATCCTAAAATACCCAAAAAGAAAATCTAATTTTAATGATTTTAACTTAAACAGTTTTTCGCCAATACATTAGTATGTACAACAAATACACTTACATTAGTACAGATGTACCTACATATAAGTATGTATATATGAAATGTACGAAATTGGTCTGACAATTAGAAGAATATATATAATTGCTCGTAATTATGCGTGCAAAGGTATATACCACTATTTGATGTCATTTGACTATGAATATGCCAATTTACATAAGAATGTATGTGTGAAGTTATTATGTGCATATAGTTGTAAAATAAAAGTGAAAACGGCAATTAACAAGTTTTACGGCATCATAATACCTGGACTACAACAATGTTACGCACGTGTAAACAAACACACCACTATTATAACTGCTGTATTTAATTTCACACAATCTATTTATCGTTTTGCATATATGTATGTTTCTATAACAAGTAAGGAAGGTTCGAAGCTTGGCAGGAACTAGAAATAAATTCTTCCTACTATCGTAAATATTCGATGTGAGGCGAAAATTGAAAATGATTCTTTTACCGTTATGTGGTAGAACTCGTTAATGGATTTCTCTAATTTTCATAATTTATTCCTAAAACAAAAGAGTTCCGAAAGTAGTGACTAAGTTAAATATTAAATTGTTCTACGGAATCACGGGCACCAAGCCTCAAGTGTGCCGCATTAGAACCGGCCTTTCAATTACACTATGGACACCAGTAGACTCTGAATGATAACAAGATATTAAATGTTTCTTACAGAAAGCATTGACTGGTATATAAATATCGAGGATATCATCTGATCAAATTTGACCCGGACTGACATAAATTACTTGTAAAAAAGATTCAGGTATTTTGGTACGATTCTAGCATTGACAAACTTCATATTCACAACATTAAACAAAATGTGTAGAGTCGATCTATTAGAGATGTTGAGCTTCTCTGCTATCTCTCTGAAGCCAACATGATAATTTTCAAGCACTGCTTTTTAACCTTTTTCGATGTTATCGTCATTAAGTCAAGTTTTCGTTGTCTTCATGACCTTCACTGAATACTTTGTGTAACTCAAATACTTGTGTCCATGATAAAGAAGACTCCCCAAAGCGCTTCTTGCAACACACCCCAAAAGGCATATGGAGATTATACTTCACACGATCATAAAATAAGGTTGTACCAATCAAGGATTTTTTTCTATTCGGATCAGTCCGGATCAAATTTGATCAGACAGTATAGATCTCTCTCTGAACTACTTGTTCTTAGTAAGGCTCAATTCGTCACATTTGTAGCACTTCCGACTGCCCACTATCCAATAGGCATACATGTGGCGAAGCTAAAAATCTTGTCGGACATTAGTTGCCAAAGTTGTATGATGGAAGGCGTGGTGGAATAATCTATGCATTTCTCCTCTCAGCATTCACAGCTGTCCAAGTACGATTCTTCGTGACCTTTGATGTGAGGATCAGTCCCATTACCTAACCTAATCAATAGAATCTCTTTTATTTTGGCTTAGAATTGTTTTTGTTTTTAAATATCGGTAATGCAAAGTGATTGGCGTGTCTATATCAGTATTATACTTATAATGTAAATTTGTTTATATTTTTCTTTAAAGTAAAACTGTAATATAGTATAACAACTACTCATAACGATACCGTATTAGAAACCGATCAACATAACGGCTTTTGAAGTAGAAAGTAATGCAGCAGTAATTTCCACAAAATGCCCCGTAAACTATTGAAATTCCTCATAATCTTTGACAATACATCACTCTTGTATTTCCCCGGCCAATTTCTATCTGGCCGCGTACTTATCGAACTACAAGATGACACACCCGCGTTGGGTCTGCACTTTCACGTTGTCGGTGAAGGTGTAGTCCGCGCAGGTACAGCACGACAGGAACGTACTTATGACAAAGAAAACTATATTGATTTTCGTATGCGATTATTGGGCGATGTGGATCAAGGACCCTCAGTACTCTCGCCTGGTATACACAGTTTTCCATTTAAATTGGGTCTGCCAGTGGGTTTGCCGTCCACGTTTTTAGGACGTTATGGTTGGATACAGTACTATTGCAAGGCGGCATTGCGTGAACCGAACGGACTGATACACAAAAATCATCAAGTATTCATTGTGATGAACCCGATCGATCTAAATTTGGAGCGACCGATTCTCTCGGTATGTCATGCAACTGCATTAATTTATTTATTTAATATACTAGTATTATATATTGTCATTCCAGCAACCATTTACTTGTGAGATCGAGCACAAACTTGGTGTGGCCTGTGTGGGCGGTGGCAAAGTTGTTGCGCGAGTTGCACTCGATCGCGGCGGCTATGTGCCGGGGGAAAGCATATTGATTACGGCATATATTTCGAATCACAGTAATGTGACGATTAAGCGGACAAAGGCCTCCCTAACCGAGGTTTGATTTAACTAAACTAATTTTAGTCATTATAAAAAAAATATATATATGAAATATTTTTACTTATTCCACACAGACCATTGAATATTTGGCACGCGGGAAAGTGGTGCAAACAGAGAAACGGGCGCTGGCCGCTTTGGCGCGTGGGAAAATTCGTCCTGGCGGTAAGGATGAGTGGCAAAACGATAGCCTGTATGTACCACCGTTGCCGCCGACAAATTTACATGGCTGCCATTTGATAAAAATCTCCTACGATGTGTTTTTCGTAATCGAACCGAAATCTTTGGAGAAGGAAATCAAATTGCAATTGCCCATAGTGTTAGCTACATACCCTTTTCGCAATAACGGCAATGATGTCTCGAATACTTGGCCAGATTCAGTGCTAAAACCGGACACACATTACCCGTCGACATTACCCATTTTTCGTCCGTGGCTGCATGAGAAACCCGAACCCAATTGAGTGTAAAAGATACATACATACAGACATAAATATGTATTCTTAAGAAACAAGCGAGCAGTGATTACATTAAAAGAAAATCATATAAAAAATTAGCGAAGTAAAATTCGTTTTTTATGTGTATGTACTTACACCCTATTTGTTTATAACTTACCTACAATAACACTAAGTGGTTTAATATTTACCCCAACTTGTTATGTGCCTAAATAAAATTATTATATTATTTGCGTACACAAATGTATATAAAAACAAAACTTACCATACAATTTTAAAAATTTAACATATTTCTATTTTATATTTTGATTAAATTTTTTCGAACGTACTTCAAAGCCCAGCTTTCCTTGTTATATTTTCTAAATTCTGAACTTCACACCGAGGTTTAATAAAAAAAAAACACATTTAAAAATCCACTCAGTGAGATTTTGCCTAAATCCACTTAATCATTTGATGATTGATGATCAAATGAGCTTATTTTTAATACGAGTCTCGACGATTTTGTTGACAGCCATAATAATTTAGATACTACACATACACTCGAACATATGTATTTAGTGAGTAAACATATTAATTTTACTTATTTGCATCGTATTTAACATAGTACACAATAATGTAAGACGAAAATATGTTTTAATTTTAATTTAACTAATTTAAGGCGAAGCAATAAATGTTCACTTACAACAGACATTTTGGTAGTCTTTTCCACTTAGTATGTCTAAACAAAACTTTAATTTCGGCTGCATCGAAATTATAATACCCTTCACATGTGCACTGCTAAATTATTTGTTTGAAGATTGTACCGTTGCCATGACCAATAATCAATGCCAAATTCGAGAGGATATCTTGGTAAATAAACAGGTTTTCCATACAAGCACTTTATAGGATCATTCAGTTTGTATGGCAGCTACATCCTATAGTGATCCGATATCGGCGATTCCGACAAATGAGTAGCTTCATTGGGAGAAAAGGACGTGTGTCGATAACTCAAAAACTGAAGGACTATGTCGTATATATACATACATTAGAGTGCGGAAAATGTTCTACGGATCATTCTAAAAAACTTTGATAAGAAACTATGGGTCTATAATCAATTTCGAGCCAGCAATTTTTAAGTCGAAGTTAGCTTTTGGGGATTATAAAAATTTGTTCGTAAGTTTCTGAGTTATCCCAATAAAATTGAATACATGCATTTTATATTGTTTTGGTATATATTTTTTTTGGTGCTCCGACGTTTTCTTCTGGGCGTTACAACGTTCATGGCAAACATAAAGTGTTAAATTTTCGATCTCGCCTCCATCTTTAATAACAAATGTATTTGAAATATCCGTTTTAATGTCAAATTAACCGTACATTCGTTGCTTGCAAAAGGAAAATAAGGGACCAGCTGATTATAATATTTAGTTCGAATCGTTAAGATAATTCACATTGGTAACTCTGGTTTAAGTGAAGATCGTTCTATGTTTTCAAATCGCGTGCTTAACGGTATAGAGAGCTTTCGACAGTTGAAGTGCTCCCACTGTTTTTTTTTTCTCAAATGTCTGATTCTGATTTAAAACAGCAGTTATGAGTGTTCACAATTGCAATAATGCTTTTCTTTCATGAGAGTTGATAATTTGTGTTTTTTTATTCTTTGTTATAAAAGACTAGATTTAATGTAAAAATTTGCTAAAGCACGTTTTTAAGAAAATTCGTTAATTTCCATTTCATATTGAAGATAAATTCTCCTAAATCGAAGCGGTTAAATAATATTCCTTGCGTGCTCGGATAACGGCGATGGTTCTTCCCTGTGCGCTGAATTACACAACCCTTAAAAGAATTCAGACGAACGTCAATCTCGCCCTCCTCAAGCTTAAAAACAATGATTTAGACGTATAAAAGTTTTTAGTAAACGATTATCAAGAACATTTTCAATAAATATATATGTACCTCATCAAATCCGTAAATGTCCTGGTAGCAGGTATACGAAATACAACGCCGCAAACATGATTTCTTCATAACAGCTTCCAAATTTTCACACAAAGTGTTGCGTTCACATGCTGTCTCGAATTCGTGATATAGAATTTCCTATACATATTATATATTTATTTAAAACAATTTGATATTTTACACAAGAAATCAAATTAGTAAAATCAATAATCACACATTTTTGCTAGTCTCCTTGTAAGCATATTCAGGAAAGTGAAATGTTGCTGCCTTTGGCAACGTCTGACCTCCAGCACCTTTTTCTTCATAGAGACCCGATGTAGACACACTTAAATTCACTATAGTTATTATAAAATTTACCAATATCCGTGTCAACTTCATTCTACATACGTTTACTGAGCGTATAAAAATATGGACATACAAATAAACTAGTGAATATTCGGCGCCTGTCATTTAATAAGGGTTGAATCATCTTTCAAATATATAACATGGATGTATATAAAAAAAATAGATGTCATAGCTTTAAAAATTATTTTTTATTTATAATTATAATAATTATTTCAATTAATATATTTCTTGCAATAACTGTCAAATTAAACCTCAAACCTATACCTTTGGATTCAATTAAATTCTTCTTTGACTTGCAGTATATTTTGATTTTAAATCTATTTCCGGTTTCTAAAAAATATATATTAGTTTTATATATATGTAATATATATATATTATAATTTATATACATATATATAGCAAGCTTTTAAGCCTTTTCTTGTAAATATTGTCGCGCGTCTTCAACCTAAAATAAAGAAAATTATTATTTTTTTTAAATTACACATTCAAATTTTACCGTTTTAAACCACGCGGATCCCGTTTTAAACATCATCCTATGCACAAACGACATCGTGGACCGTGGAGCTATTCCATGCATATGCAGGTGTTTTACGGTAATGAAAGGCGGCAGATGAAAACCAAATAAAGCATCTGTTGTACTGATATTATTCTTTTCAAAAAAGGACTTTAGACCTTGTTCCATGCTGTCCACTAAAAGCAAAAACTATTATACAATAACGTTGTTCAGAAAGTTACGTTTTTATAAAGGTTGGTGCGTTGAAAAATTATAAAAATAAAAAAAAAATTTATATTAAACTTTTACTATAATATTTTGACCACATTGAAATGTTTAATAAATTCACATTATTGGTGTAGTCTTCTTGTGCCTTTATGGTACAATCTGATGGAAAATTCGGAAAGTTTTTACATGCAAAATGTTTAAATTTTTAGAGGATGAACGAAATTTCACTGTAAGTACTTCAGGCAAGTTTCATCTTACCTAATCCTATATCATTCTTTGTCAAAGCTTTCAAACTCTCTACATGCCGCTTTGGAACAGCCAAGTAATGGTAAGTTGATGATGGCTTTATGTCTTTAAATATAACAAAATCCTCATTTTCATATTCGATCACAGTATTGGGTTGTTTTCCTGCAGAAATCTCACAAAATATACAGTGCCCCATATTCGACGAACCAATTCGGATTAATCGTAGAAATGGTAAAAATGCCAACACACAGAGACCCAGCAAAATTATGTACTTTTTGGCATTCAGCTGTTTTTGAGGCAACATCGGTGGAATATTGTCTAAACAATTTCTAAAATGATAACAAATGATAACAAATACACGCAGTGCGCAAGACGATAAATTTAGCTTCGAATATTTTGCCTACTTACCAGCTGCTTGAATTTTTTTCTGCTAAGAAAGGGTCAATTTTTAACAATTCAAAGTAATGTTGCTCATACTAAGAAAATTAATTATGCAAAAATTGTATTTACATACATACGTACATATAATAAATAGCTAGAGCTAAAATTGCAAACGTATACACGTTAGATATTTGTTGGTAAGTGGCAAGTTAGTTTTGTAGAATCAGCTGTTATGCTGTCAAATTGATTGTGTCACAACAAAGCAAAGTGTACGATGATCAAGCGGTAGGAGGAGTCAACAAACTATATTAAATACGTGAATGTGGGGGTGCAAATTTAATTGATAACGAAAAAACGAAAAGTTAACTTCATTAACTAACGTAAAAGTGGAAACAAAATTGTGTGTATATTAGTTTAAAAGTGAAATAGCATGAACGAACTGAAAGCACCATCTCTCCAATCGCTCTTGGAGTCGGATCGTGGATCTAGTGACAGTTTGCTTGCCGAATCACTGCTTGATGTGGACGATGTAAATAAATACCTAATAATTTATATATGCATCTGTGCTATAAATTTTTCATAATTTTCAGTTGGATGATGTGGAATATTCGATTCCACCAAGTGGTGAATTGCCGACCTTAGAGTCGGCATTAAGTGAGTTTGAAGCAGATTCGGACATAGGTTCGGAATTGGGCGTACCAGCACCGGCACCAACACCAACGCCCTCATTAGCAGAAGAGGGTGGAGTTCGCAATGGTGGCGCAGGCGGAGGCGGTTCCATAATGCGTTATGCCATGATGCATGGAGTATCTGCACAAATTGCGTCAGCTGCTGTAAGTTCCGTATTAAACATATTTTTAATGTAGTGTGTAAATTTATTTATCTTATAAATAATGCAACCATCAGGATCGGGTAAACGCTGGTTTTACAACTGCGTGCGCTGTGTCAACCTTAATCGGCATTGGTACCTCACATGGTCACATTCTCAATTTTGACATAACACAAACACTACGTTGGGCACATCAAGACAAACACGGTCAAGGTGCTGTGTCAGCATTGTCATACAATCCGGATTGTACACGTCTATTAGCTGGTTATGCACGTGGACTTGTTGTAATGATTGACACACAATCCGGCGACGTTTTACGCAACCTATTTGACGCGATTACTCCAAATACTGGAGTTCTGCATTTAAAATGGACCTCTAGACCGGCACTTGCGCTCTGCTCCGATTCAGGAGGTTCAGTATGGTCGTTGAGCTTCACAAGAAAGTTAGGCATTCGTGGTTGCTCGTCCCGCTGTCTTTTTAGTGGAGCACGTGGAGAAGTTTGCACCATGGAACCATTATTGATAGATAGTTCGCATGACTTGGATCAATATTGCATTATTGCACTTGCCACTTTATCCAAATACTTTATTGTAACCATACGTCCACGTCTTAAAGTGATTAAGTATCATGCACTGCAAGGGCCAGCTGATTGTTTACCCGTACTGGCATGGCAAATGGTTCTAATACAAGCAGCAGACACTACACGTTCTTTTGATCCAGTTCTTGTAGTAGGACGTGGCAATCAATTGTTTTTCCATCAACTTTTTATGACAAATGGGCGTATTTCTTTACTTTACTTGCGGCATGTGCAAATGCAGACAAATTTACTATCGGTTCATTGGTTGGGCCCAAAGTGTGTCGCATGTATGGATGTATCGGAAATACTACATCTAATAGATGTGCGATCCAGCAAAGAACTGGAATGTATCGATATGGCTAATGCCGGATTAGTATATGGCTCAGCGCAATTCAAAGGACTTGCGACCGGCGGTAATGTGTCACCTGCTTTAGCTTTGGCCGGCACACATGCGTGTTACAATTCCTTAATGTCGCGCGGCACACAATTATACATTTTGGGTGCACGATCCTTGCATATGATAGCTGTGCGCACATGGACAGAGCGCATTAGCTACTTGGTAAGAAGCGAATTGCACTTAGAAATGTTATAAGTTATTTTAAAAGTTTTACTTATTATCTAGGTGAAAAATCAAAGATGGCAAGAAGCATGTGATCTCGCGCTAGACGGTTATCGCGCCACAGCGGAGCGTCCCAGACGTAAAGCACAAGCAAAAGAGCGCATTATAATGCTTTTCAAAGAGTATTTGGCTGCATCGGCAAGAGCGCCTGATTACTGTCTGGGACCTATTGTGAAGTGTCTGATCACAATAGGTGAACTGGAATTGCTATGGACACAACTGTGGGAACGCTTACAAAATAAAAGCCTTTATCTACAACATATCACCGAACACATAGAAAACGATAATATTCACCGTGTCAGCCCAACAATTTCGCAAGCATTAGTAGAACATTGGCTAGAAATATCACCAACAAAATTAGAAGAAATTATACTTAAACTTGACTGGACCTGCCTTGATTTAAACCAAGTACTAAAGGCAGCCAAACGTTATAAGCTTTATCGCGCACAAATCTACCTCAATACACATGCACTTAACGACTACTCCAGTCCGCTTACGGAATTGATACCTTTGGTAGCGCAAGAACCATCGGCTGTAGGAAACTCGCTGCTCGTGTACATATCAAGTTGCCTGGCAGGACGTGGTTATCCAAGCGGTGAAATACCAACCGATATAGTTCAAAATGTCAAACATGAGGTCCTACGCTGCTTAACTTCGCTACATTCTAATACTAGTGTGCCGAACGAACTGCCATATCCTTACTTGCGTGCGCTACTCAAATTCGATACTAGAGAAACCTTAAATGTGATTTCGTTAGCTTTTCAGGAGAAGGAATTTAGTGGTGAGCTGGGTTTCTCGCATCGCAAACGCATAATAAACATACTTTTAGAAATAATGACACCCGAAAACACAACGGTAAGATAATAATATATATTTTTATACGCTGAACAGGATGTATTAAGTTTGCCACGAAGTTTGTAACACCCAGAAGGAAACGTCAAAGACCATTAAAAATATATATAAAAAATCAACGTGACGAGCTGAATAGATTTAGCCAGGTCCGTCTGTGTATACGCGAATTAGTTTTTCTCAGTTTTTGAGACATTGATCTGCAATTTAGAGCACGCTCTTTTCTCCCCAATAAACTGCTCATTTGTCGGAACCGTCGATATCGCAGCTGCCATAGATATGGAACTATCAAAATTTAGTCTTTCTATGGAAAATTTTTTTATTTGACAAAGTATCTTCAAGAAATTTGGCATAAATTATGCAATGCCACAATCACTGAACAAATTGTTTAGATCGAACCAGTATTGTATATAGCGACTGTAGATCAAACGATCAAAATCAAGTCCTTGTATATAAAACTTTATTATTTGACAAGATATATTCACGAAATTTGGCGTGGCTTATTGTTCAAGGCCAACCTCTACAATCTCTGCACAACATTTTTAGATCGGACCACTATAGCATATAGCTGCCATACAAACTGATCGATCAAATCAAGTCCTTATATGGAAAACTGTCTAATTTGTTAAGGGTATTATAGCTTCGGTGCAATCGAAATTAATGTTTTTTCTGGTTTGGTTGCTTAATTTCCACCTAAAATTTTGTATATAATAGTTACTATTTTTATATATTTTTTATTAATAACCAGTGGGCGGAGATTGGTTGCCTTTTAAATTTCATCGCCCAACAAATATCCCAACAATGTCTAAAACCCGACACTCAGCTGCTGGGGAAAGTGCTCAATCACTTGGCGAAAGAAAAAATAACTAACGAAACTACACGGCAACATTCTGAACGCGAGAGTGCATGGCATGAACTGCTCATTAATAATTGTCTAGACGAAATTAGTACGGATGAGGAGCAACTGCGTCTGGCGAAACGCGCCCATTGCTACTATGTGGAGGAATATCTACTAGAGAAGCTGCAGCGTTACGATGATATTGTTGAGTGTTATCTGAATAATGATCAGCGTCACGATACCATGTTTAGCTATATGGAGCGGCATGTACAACAACCAGAGCGTAAAATTTACGAACAAATTGAGAAACACTTCAAACGTATGCTGGAAATAAACGCCAAGGAAACAACGCGCTTAATAGATTTCCACTTTAGTGCGAAAATTAATAAATTACTGGAAGTGGCGCAAGAAGATGAGCAAACATTATTAACGTTTCTAGAGCATTTACATCGACGAAGATTTGTTTTAACTGCCGCGCAGAGTGCACAATTGCTGGCACTTTTATGCAAGTTTAAACCAGAGGAAGTCGATGAATTTGTGCGCCAATCCGACGAGTATCGTGTAGAAGAGGCGCTAAGCTTAGTTTTAACGCATAAACTGAACAAATCGGCAATATATCTATATGAAAAGCAAGCGAACTATCACAATGCCTTCGAGTTGTCCATAGAATTATTAACTACATTACATGGTGAGGTGGCGGCTACTTTTGCCCAAGAAATAAGCGACTTGTGTGTACGTGCCACAAACGTGCTTCCAAAGGCGGATTGTGAACAATTTTGGTTTACGCTCCTACAGCAAATATTGCCACGTGATGATCTCAAATCCAGCACGAAGCATATGTTACATTTATCGTCGCAATATGTCGACTTACCAAAACTGGTGCAACTTGTGATGAACACCCGTAATGTATCGGGCAATTTTGGTGATATTAAAGATTTGCTAATGAGTATGCTGTCACAATCCCGACTTGAGACAGATACCATGGAGAAAACGCTGCAAGTCAAGTGTCAAGATCTAGCAAATGCTTTTGCACGTAAACGTTCCGAGGCTAAGCGCGGTCTCCTAGTGCCGACAATGCGTTGTGTCATTTGCCAACAACGTTTGTACAATCAAAGTGATATACTTGTCTTAGGCGGCTGTGGACATGCTGTTCATGACCAATGTGCAGCAACATATAACGAAACAGTGCAATTGCGCTTAAATAACAGTGATCTTTCGCAAACGACGCAAACGGAAAATGATGCATATAACGGTATTAATGTAGCATGCCCGCATTGCTCAGCGGAAATGAGAAATAATTTTTACAATAATATAATTAAACTATCGGAACCTAAGCGTACAGTGTTTGTACGCTGTGATGGGGCTTTTAATATACAGCAACAACAACAACATAATGTAAATCAAATGGGTATATTGAAATTAAAAGCGCCACCACGAAAATTTACTTGCAACTAATAGTAATGAAAGTTAAATATGGCATTTTGCAATTCTACGTTTGACATCTCATAAATAACTGTGTATTTTGCTATTATAGCGTTTTGTTTTTTTTTTTTAAATGTGTCATCGAAGATTACTGAATCACTTTCAATTCGACAAATTATTGGAAATCAGTGTGAAAATTTCGTTAAAAAAATAGAAATATTCGTAAATTATTGCAAGTTGATTTAAATAATAATAAAAATAAATAAAAAATTATCAAAAAATGTTGTATGCATAGTATGCATAAGATTTCACAGTTAAAAATAAAAACGAAAACAAAACAAAAATTAATTACACAAATTTTCCATACATACATTTTATTTAGCCACTTTGCTTAAACGAAATAAAAGTCTATTTAATTAAGATAAATATGATATTCACATACTCTCATGCTAACATATACGTAAATTTCGTGTATTTTATGTTGTATGTTTGATATCAATTACATAACAGTAATCTAAAACCTAATACTAGATTTAAAAAAGAATTTCAAAATCTAGTATTAGTTTCTAAATATTTCTGTTTTAAAAACTAATACTAGTTTAAAAGTTTTAAAAAAGGTTCTAGATTTCTATTCTTTCTATTCTCAAAACTAAAACTAAATTATAAATATATATAATGTTAAAATTCTATTATCAATTTCTAGACTCACAATATAAAGTATTAGTTTTTAGATTTTCTGTTCTTCATATTTTCTTTAATCTTAGTTTTCATGAGCGTTAATTCACGGTTTTTTCATAATTTGAAGGGCATATATTTTCGAGGCTCAATGAAAGTGATTCAGTGTTTATAATTGATTGGTTCGGTTTTATTCGTTTTTTGTTTTTATTTTGAAGAAACAAAAGTTCCTTCAACTTAGACAACACAATCACGGCAGTTTGTTATTCAATTGTTCACTTAGTTCGCAGCACTCGTTTTTCTTTTGCGCCTGATTAAGCCAACAGTATTTCTTGCTAATTACTTACTGCAAACTACTCTTTTCCAAATAGCGAAAATCATATGTTGTTTAAGTCACAAATTTACAATTAAGTTTCTGTTTAAGCTTTAATATATATGTATGTATGTACGATAATAATAATCGAAATTATTCGAAAAATGCTTGCAATGCATTTGCAAATAAATTATATATACAATACTGTAATAATTACTTAAAACACAAACCGAATGTAGTTAAATATAAATATTTACAAAAAAGTAACTGCTTGTGTGAAAAAATGCGAAAAAAAACAACCATCATTACGCTGATAGCTCTTTTGGATATAAATTGCCATAGTATTGCACAAATTCAGCACATTGCTCCGCTGCAGTAAAAAAAAAATCAGATTATTTGCTTCAAAAAGTTAAAATTGTGATTTTACTCACATTTCAAAAAGTCCATTGTACCACGTTGCTGTAGATTACGCAATTGGAAGAATTTAAAAACACTATGAAAAATCAAGTCATCCTTAGACTTTTGCGCTGCTTCGAGAAATTTTCGCGCCGATATGGTATTGCGGTTCATCGAATTGCATGCCAATCGTAGAGCATCCACCACTTTACCTTGACCCAATAGCACCTCGATTATTATCTAATACATATACACAATATATATTATATATTTCTTAGGGTATAGCTACTGCATGGTATAAGTCACACATGTACTTACATCGTGGGCTTTGATCTCACTCAACATGTCGAGCGCAATTTGCGAAATAGCCCTATCAACATCGGAATGTGAAAGCAAAAAACACGCGATTGGCTTTGACTCAAACAATAGTGAATATTTGACTAAACGCCGCAATGTATCAAAGCTCCGATTGCGTATAAGTTCACTTATAATCATCTTGCTAAGATCCTCTTGCGCAGCAATATTGTGTTTGTTCAAAGAGTATAAATAAAGAATTAATATCGTTTCGGTATTGAAGCGCTCACTTATAGGTTGGAAGACGTATTGGAACATGTCCTGCTGTTCGATGAGCACTTTTGGTGCCGGTGGCAGTTTTATAGTAGTTTTAACATTTGATGGTTGGGCAGTTTGCGTTTGGAGTTCTAATTGTACCCATGCGCTAAACAAGAAATTAATAAGAAAATTTTAATAATTACACCCATTACCAAATTTCACATTGATACTTACGCATAAACCTTATTGATCTTATTAAAAATAGTCTCCAGCACCGGCAGCAGTGTACCTTTGTACTGTTCGTCGACCATTTGGTGTACTATTTTTAAAAGTGCTTGTTTGCCATTCGTACGCTGTAGCAAGAACTCTGTGAGTCGTATGCGATCAGATATAAGCGTACAAAGTTGTTCTACATTAAGATTTAAATACCACATACAACCAAGCTTGGCATCAATTACAATATTCGGTTGGAATAGTACCCAATGCATAGAATCTGTAACCAATATTAATTATTAGAAGCATCAAAATACATATGTATGATATTATTGAGCACATTACACAATTCGCATTGCATTGTTTGTCCGTCCGGCGATAAACTTGGCAATTTCAACGCAAACGGACGAATTGATCGCCCTGGCGTAATGGGAGTGTGATATGTGACACCATTTGCTTGCTCCCCACTTAAAGCAATATCAAATAGAAGTGAGGTAGCCGATGCCTGATGGTGTACAACTATTAAGTTATCCACTGTATTGATTGCAAATCGTCCAACATGACCAAGTCTAAGTACATGACATTTGCGTGGTGCTAAGCCGGGCCCATTAAGTAGGTATACTTCGACTTCCATCATACCTTCCGGATTTGCTTGTAGGAGGAACACTGCCATTGTTCCATATACTTGCCCCAGCGTTACTTTACTCTCCTGTACTTCAGTATTAGTATTGTCCACTGTAAATGGTATGTACATTTGTAATAACAATTGAAACTTAAAATATGAATAATGCTCACTTTCCAGCTTTGGTAGCTTCGTTATAGACTTTTGTTTGATTAATATTGGTACCAAAGAATTGTTGTCAGTTGAACAAATCAAAGCAATATTAGATACAGTACACCAAGCAAACCATTTGATGCCAATATTCAAAGACTTTACAGCACGCAATTGACGCTTTTCTGGTATCACGGTGAAGATCTCTATGCTACTATTTGAAATTATTGCTACCTCGCACGTATGAACCCATACGAAACCATAAACTAGTGCTTTCATTTGATGAACAATACTTTCTTGTAGTAATGGCTGTTCTCCTTGAAAGCAAATGAATTCCACAGCATTTTCTCGACGTTGTACTGCCAATACTTTATTGTCTGGCGAAAATTTAATTGAACGAATAGTACCACGATCATTCATACAGAATGAGATGACTGAATCCTCTGTTGGGCCCTTAACTATCACACCAGTTGCGCCACCACTACGTACAGCAAAAATCTAAAAAAAAAATTTAATTAGTATAATTTATCTTACATACTTGTTATAATTTAATACCTGGCAATTGGAGTCATCGAAAAATACATTTGTTAATTGGCTGGCTGCGTCGAATCGTATTGGACATTTGGACAGTTCTATATAATGGAGTGTTTCCATTTTATTAGTTTTATCCTTTTGGTAATTTATATTTTTAATCGAAAATCTTTTTACTTAAAACAGAGGATTTGCTAGATGAGCGATTACAATAATTTTATAATCAGCTGTAGGTAATTTGTTTATATACCATTTTTCAGAGATGCCCAACTGTATATATTATTTTAATTTTTCGATTTCTAAAATTAATTATATAGTATTTTATTTTAATTGTTATTAAAAGTTAAATTATATAATAATAATATTTTTTTTTAAATATTCTAAAATAGTAAAAAATTGGATTCTATAATGTGTTTTTGGGAAATCAACAAAATTTTGAATTTTGCACATTTCCACTTACGTTATTCTTGCTGAAATGTCTATTTTACCAACACTGTATTTACAACTGTCATATACTGAGTGCTTTTAAGATATTCCTGGGAAGGATAGGGCAACTCGTAAATCCCATAGACACTCATAAGTTTTTGCAAAATTGTTTAGATACAAATTAATCCTGCACCAGCTTAAGTTGCGCTAAATATCTTCAAAATGGTAATCGGGTACGTATTAGAGAAGCAACCATTTCAGATGTCAAATTTACGTAATGGATTTTTTACCTTTTATGTCCGTCACAATGATCTGGACATCTATAGCTTTCTTGTTCGAGCCAGCATTGTCGTAGGTGCTGCATATTACTCGAAGAAACTGGGAGTATGGGATAGCCCGGAACAATCGGAAAAGCTGTATAATGAAATAAAAGAAAGTATTCGCCCTCACGCTAAAGAGCTGGAAAAGAAATTACCCTTTGAAGTTCCAGCGTTACCAGAAACTGGTGAAGCACGTTTCTTGGCTAAGCATTATTATAACGAAGGAGTTAAAAGCACATTCCACTTTATTGAAATGTTGCCATGTTACACGGGTCAGTTGTTGCACAAAGCGAAAGTGGAATTCGAAAAATTCGCTACTCCCCCATCCCCTACTACTGAGAAGTAAAAACTTTTTTTTAATAAAATATTCGATGTTACAAATTCTATTTATAAAAGCTAATGCAAGTTAAATAAAATGGCGAACAAACGAATTAACACTTAATTTAATCAAATATTAAGACATGAGTCCACAAAATGTGAGTAATGAAATCCCCCCAACAAACGGTTCTAGGTTTCCAGAAAATTATCAGGATTTTGGTGATCTATCCAATCTTAGATCTATAAGCTCCATGCAAATAATGCAAAAAAATCGAATTGAAAATGTTGGACTTTTGTTCTACCGCTGAAAAATTTACGAGCTCATCAGAAAAACTCACGAACTAATATAATATTCGCTCATTACCTACTTGCTTTAAGGTGCTAAAGATGATTCTTTGAATTATCGGGGAATCTTCTCATAAAATGCTTTAATAATTAAACATATAAGAACTCACAGCGCAAATGGAGGAATATACAACTCGCTACAATAAATATGCAGCGAATTAACAACATAGCTTGCTTATCGAGCATCGCAATATTTCGGCGGATAATAAACGATTTTATTTCATGTTTACAAAATACTAATTTTATTGTGTAACTGTTTAAGGTTTAGTTTTCAGTTTCCAAATTGCATTTTTGCCACTTCTCAAATGATAAATTGCGTTCGTTTTTTTTTAATACACACAGATGATGCTCTTAAGTTGCTTAGCATTCGATATACAATTTTCATAATTTTATAAAATAAAAGTCGTGCAATTTTTTTTTTAACTTTACTCTCTTTTTAAAGGTGCAACCTTATATGTACGTTCTGTATGTAGTTATCATTAACTGCTTATATTTAGTTACCACTATCATTGTTCAAAAAGGTCCTTTGCATATCGATAAGTTCGTTCTTGTTGATAATAAGTTTAATATGTTATTTTTTTCAGTTAAAATAGAAATTAACTGCAGTGCAAAATCTTATCGATGATTTCAATTGTTGCTCCTGCATCGACAAGAATACACACGCACACTTATTCATAAAACATCCGCTCCCATAAAATATATATATAGCGGAGGTTGATAGAAAATGGCTGTGTTTGTTACTTTTGCTCCATTTTAGTTAACACCTTATTGCTTCTAATATATTGTTGTTTCTGCTGCTGCTGATTTCGCTGACTTCATCTCTGTTAGGCTGTATTTCTATTGTTTAAAAGGCAGTAACGGTAGCCACACTTCAGGCCTTAGTTTCCACTGCCGGAGTGGTTTCGACCTTCGATGCCGCGGCAGCCGCATCCGCACCAACTGCGGCGGCACTACCCTTCTTCTTAGCACCACCTTTACCCTTCTTACTGGGTTGCAAAGGTGTGGCGACAAGTTCCTAAAAAAAACAAAACAAAAACAACAAGGCTCAGTTAAATTTAGTTCCCAATTAATAATTTTTTTTAAACTTACTTTCAGTTCCGGCTGAGCTATGCTATGCTCACTGACATACAACTCCTCCGTAAATGGAATACCAGTAACCAAATTGACACCATTGGGCATAAGCAACACAGTATGCTTGAATTGCGCAACATATTCAGCTGTAATACAAAAACATAAATAAGCTTAAAAAATCTGTACAAATTAAAGCATACCTTGTACTATAATAAATTAAGAAAATAATTATAGCAATCAAGTTCTTGCAAACTTTGTATATAAGAATTTTGAATAAATTATTGCAGTAATAAAGTTTGCTTAAAGCACGCAATAAGTGCTCTAAGAAAATTTATAACTGTATTTTATCTTGCAAGGTGTCTGGCCGTGAGACGAAATTAAATTTCATTTACGGAATTAATCCTTGCAGAAGATATCACTCGACTGCTGCGGCAAAAACTCACCTGGTTTTTCGTATAGAACTTGGAAAGGCTCAATCATCTTGTGCGATACGCATTCAACAACACCCATGCGCGCTTTTGTTTCTTCATCAAAGTGTCTGATATTGAAAGGCATATTTCCGTATTTTGTTTTAACCTGAAATTGGGCGAAGTATTTTATAAGAAATATTGAATACGCAAAACACATATTTCAAATTACTACACAACTTTCTTGTTTCTTACCTCCTGCAGGAGCCCACGTGATGCCTTTAGCTTCAGCATATAATTTTCATCTGTTTTCTTATATATTGAGACCTTTGTATCCTTCTCGCGACCCTTTAATAGATAATTTTTTTTTGTTTAATACTTTCTTAAAACAAAAACTAAATAGTTGTTGTGTAGATGTCCTCAGATCTCATAATCTTACAATCTCCGAGCATCCGTCTAACGATGCAGAACAAGTGTGCCAATTCGAATGAGCAAAACAGCTTATGAATTGGAAAATAATCAAAAGAGAATTCAATCGATTACTTTCACATGAACTTTACCGACTGACTTCAAACTCTCAAGCGCTATTTTTTAATCATTGGATATGTAAAACGTGAGATGTGTTATGAATATTTGTCAAACTTACAATGCCTTCGCCGGTGCTCACTATTACATCGATGGCGTAAACTTCATGTGTCTCGAAAGTGCATTTCTCGTGTTCCTTGCGCTGACTTTCATTCGGGTTTTGTATAATAGTCTTTTCGCCATCAATTTTAAATTGTTTTAACTCATGGCTAAGCATACCTTCAATAGGTTTGCATTTGTATGATTCGCTGACTTGTTGCACGGCGTCGGTTATCGTATAATTCTGTGTAGAAATGATTTTTTTCCTTTAACAATGCTTAATATTTGAAAAATATTACAATAATTGTAAAAATACTTATAGTCTAAAAAGCAAATATTATCTTTATATTATTTATTATATTTATTATCATAGAGCATATACATATATTATTGCATTGTTACAAATGTTAGCAGTGATAAAAAGAGAAGTGGCAGTAATAGCACAAAATTCTCTTGGTATAACTGTAAATATTTTTTTATGCAAGTGTTGAGACGACCTCTTTCATTGAATATCTAAGAGACAATCCGTTTGCTTGCAAAGTGTTAATTAATAGAAACGCATATTGATATGCATATTTTTGTACTGTAATATGTTACAAGAAGCAATTCGTGTTGGCAGTCGAAAAAAGAGACGTTCCAGTATCGCAAACTTCTCATGGTGGACTGTAAATATTTATTTATGCAAGTGTTGAGATGAACTCTTCCATTGAACATCCAAGAGTTAATCCGTTTGCTTGCAATTTGATTTATTTATATATTTCCAAAGATTAATTGTAATCATGTTTAACGATAATTAGGGAGAAATGCATGGTAGGGGCATTGCACCATTGTGGCTCGACAAATTTACTTTTGCAAACAAAGTGTCTGATTCTGCTACAAAAGCAGAACTAAATTCATGATTTGTTTGCATAGTATAAAAACTTACTTCCTAGGCAGGGATAAAATAAAAATGTACCAAACTACTTTATACAAGATTAAACTATGTAACACTCACGCTATTTCCAGATTTCAATAAACGTAGTGCAGCCTGTACTGCCCAATAAGCTGCTAAAACAACATCAGCTTGGCGTCCAGACACTGTTTTCTCCTTCGAGGCACCTATAACCACTGTATGTGCTGCTACGGCAATAAAACCATCAATATGTGCCCCAAGATCACTATAAGAATATAAAATTGGAAGATTAGTTACTCTTAAGTTTTCAATATTTCGGCATATTTGTATTATCTAAAATACCTCTTATAAAAATATCATATTAACATATAGTTTACTATTGTATTTCTTTTTTCTAACATCGCACGTACATTTTAACAACATCTCCTTCCTTAAGTATGTAATCGGCATCATTTTTGGATGGAGAGAAGTGGCATACGCAGTTATTAACGGACAAACATGTTGGGAATGCAATGCCCTTTTTCAAGTCCTTTTCTTTTTTGTATACCTTAAAGGAAATTAATAATATATTTATATATGCCGTTGTAATTGTACTAATATTTCTTATATATAGTTTGTTCTCAGATCTCATAATCTTGCAATCTTTGAGCATCAATATCACTCAACCCAAAAATGCGCCAAGCCAGTTACGAAATTTCGATAACCAGAAGTAGTAATTCAAATGAACTACTGCAATTTTCAATTCAAGTGACATATACAGCTCTCAAGCGCTGTTTTTAATCATCGAACAGTAAATATTGAAAAAAATATATATTATGATATAATTTAACTGCTAAAATCTTACCTTGCTGGTTTCATCGGTAATAAGACTGTCTCCCTTAGTGCAGATGTCACGAACAGATGCTTCGGCCACACAGAGATCAATAACAGCTTTAAGTGTTTCTACAAGTACCAAAAAATAATTCAGTGTTTTAAGCAAAAACAACAAAAAAAAAAAAAAAAAAAAAAATTGCGCAAAATTCTACTCTAGATGTGCCTTAATAGACAACTTAAAACTGTGCTCTTTACGAATGTTTTGAAAACAAATGCGTGGCATTTTTACTATTTAACCGATTGCGCTATTTCTAGTTGGCATTTCAATATAAGCAAACTAAATGAATAGTCATTTAAAATAGAACAATTTGTTAAAAATGAAAAAAATATGGTTTTCTAAATTAATAATTAATTTACCATCAAATCTATATTGTTCACAATTTTTAGAGGTTATGTTCATTGATAATGCATTACGCGCCGCGTGGCTTGCTTACATACTTTATTGTACATGGCAGCGATTTAGTTTTATACTTATAATATATCTTTAGTTTTTAATTATATTGTTAATTAAAAAATTGAAAATCTGAATATATTCATACTTGTATTATATATTTTGCTCCATACACATATTTCTCATAAATGTATACTCACTGTTGACTATTTCACCGGCCAATTTGTATTTGGTTACCACCAAATCTTCAGCGATGGTTTTCTCTGGAACCTCTTTCTCAACTTCGGCCATTTTACTCGTTCAATGCGGATGGACAATGAAATCTAACTTTTTAGTCCCTTAATGGAAAACCAGGATTAAAATTTTAATTTCCAGTTGGGCAAGCTACGCACGTCGTTATTAAAACAAATTCCAATTCACGCGTTAGAATTTGGTTTTTATAGATTTATTACCAAAACTCAAAAGTCCCAAAATACTTTTGTTAGAAAATGCGACCCGATCACAAAAGTTTTACTTCACACGTTGCTCTTTTCGCGACGGTGGAATTGTATAAAAAGAAATCAAACGATGTGAACACGAAGCATCGATAGTTGTTGCATGATTGCCATTTCGCATATACATCGTCCAAATAAACAAATTTCGCTAGCTTCGCTTTGCTATTATCGATAGCTAAAAATGAGTAGTAAGGTTTTTCTGAACTACCAATTTCACATAGAATTTCTTCACAAACCCTTTTCAAATGTGTTAAACCATGCTCTATATAAACAACAATCAGAATAAAATCCATGGTATATTAATAGTTTTTCGTAGATTTACAACCAGATTCCTGGTAGAGAAAACAGTGAACATTTTACTCTAAATAATACTTACTGTTATTAAGACGTTATATTTACAGAAAACTAATAAATTTGGGGAAATTTTTCATCGAAACTTTAAGAAAGAATTGTGTGTTAGTATTTACTAGACACTCTGTCTTTGCAATCAGCTGTTTATTTACTCATGCTAATCAGCTGTTAAATTAACCAATAGTAAATATTTGAATGGATTGTATAAAATCTTGTGACGAACATGTAATAAATTAGAAATAGAAGTGTCTTAACTTTACTTCCTGATTAACGCAAACAACCGGAACAAGCGCGATGTTTGCCCATTTACCATACAGACGGCCATTAGTGTTGTTAACCGAAAGATGTCTCCTTAACGTAAGCCCAAGCACAAAGAAGTTACCTCAACTAAGCAGGCAACGACTGACGCAATTCCAGTCTCGTGAATTCTATCAAAAACGTAGTGAATGTTCTACTGATGCAACCAGACCTCGAAATATTTGGAATAAAATTTTCGGAAAATATTTGTTAGCAACAAATATTCTGAGTTCGGGTGTTTTAATGGTAATTGGAGATTTGGTTGCACAAGAGATTGAGTATCGTCGTCATCGCAACGAGTTGGATGAGTTCGATATCAAGCAAGAACGCTATGACACAAAGCGCATCTTTCGCATGTTTGTGGTGGGATGTTTGCAAGGGCCACTGCACCATTATGTTTACAAGTGGATGGATTATGCGATGCCAGTGCCTAACGTACGGAACACACTTTGGAAAATATTAATTGACCAAATATTTATGTCACCAGCCTGCATTTTAATATTTTTTTATTCCGCTTGCTATCTCGAGCAGAGATCTGTGCAAGACACAAATAAGGAGCTGTGTGATAAATTCCCAATTATATATTTAATGGATTGGACTATGTGGCCGGCAGCACAATATATAAATTTTAGATATTTGGACACCAAATATCGGGTTATGTTCGTAAACGTTTGCACAGCAGTTTACAATATATTTCTTTCGTATATGAAGCATGACTATTGAAAATTTGGCTGTAATCCCTTAATATATGTACGTGTGATATCGTACCTAACAGAAACCTTTGATTTTAGATAAACAATTGAGAAAATCGTAACAGGCTATACCAGAAATAAAGTGCTGGTAGAAATGCCATTATTCTTATACAACAAAAACGCCATATCAAATAAACGGTTATTCCCCCAACACGAATGCGCGGTATGGAATATCTTTATCACGATCAGGATTAATGATATGCATAACTATAAAACAATATAGATTTAATTTAATTTTTAGAAATAAAAATATTTATTTAAAATAAAATATAGCTATTCGTAGATATTTAAAAAAAACTGTGTTGTGTTTTATTTATATGTATAGTTTATAAATAGTATTTTTAACTTATACATATGTATTTATGTATAAAAAAGTATTTAGCGAAAAATACACATATTTACGCAAATTATTAAAATCCTACGTCATCTGTGACTGAAACACCGAACATGTTTCGTGCTAACTGCATATGTTCCTGTTGAATAAAATTGGCCATTAATGTTGTAAGCACCTCATTTGCTCTTAAAATCTGCTGCTTTATGACAATTCGGAAATCTTCACGCGCCCCTTTGTCAGCACCGCGTGTACCAACGCGACAAACACTTGTACCGGTTTGCGCAGGTGATAAGTCAAAAGAGAAGTCTTCATTATGTGCGTGCCAAATATGCAAGAACTCTTCGACAAAATCGATTGTTACTATGTACGTAGTAAATAAGCGATAAGCGAAAGCTCTTCGCGAAGTTATTAGTGTAAATATTTGCTCAGCCATTAGCGTCTCACGCGGATATTCAAGCTGTAATAATACCAACAAGTCACCCAGTATTTGATCAGGACAGTTTGGTTCGTAAAGTTTTCGCTTTAAAAAAAAAAAACGAAGTTTAATATATGATATTTTTTGTATATTTCTGTTCAAAACTCACACTGAGTGTATTGATGATGGCTTTCGTACAGTACTGTATTAAAGCTTTCTGTGTCAACGGTATAAATATCATATGGCGGGGCACCTTTAACGTTAAATGTTCCAGAATATGTCCTTGTGTTGGTGGCAATTCGTCAATAATTTTGACTATGCATTCGAAACCTTGAAGCTGTTTAAATAAATGCCTTTATGAGTTTATATACTTGTATTAAATGTTACATATAGGACTAAACTACTTACCGTCAAATTCCCTTGCAATAAGTTTAAACTTAATATTTGCAAATTCTGTACCAAACTACTAGTCACTATCATCTCAGACATCAATTTCTTTGCCTCTTCTTGGTGGCCGAAATATATCGCCAAATCGAAGAGAAATCGCGATATCCACGCAGCCAAAGGTAAGGTGAGTAGTAATTTGCTGAAATCACGTTGAAATTGCTCCGTATTTAAAAGTTGCCAACATTGTGCCGCATGAACAAATGCTTTCGATATATCTTTGCTTGTTGGTGTAGTTAGTGAGATCTGTGGAGGTTCCATACTTTGTACATCTGGTGCTTCCATTTTCCAGTCAACTGAAATTTATTGAGAAAATGTACATATGTCAGTTTATATAAGTATACAACAATTTAATAATTTTACCTGTGAAACCTTCCACCAAAACGTGATTAATGCCAGCATCTTCTGATTGTGTATAACAATTTTTGATATAACAATGTAGTGAATATATAAATAAAGTTGTAGCATAAAAAAGCACTTGCGTACTGCCAGCTGGACTAATTGACACAATTTCTATAAGTTTATCCCAATAAACATTTTGTCCCCAAGTTTTATTGAATGGTAAAAATGTTTCCCAACGCAAAATTTTACCACACAACATCAAAACTTGAAATATCTTTTTCCATATTTCAGTATTATCACACTTATTCTCATCATCAATTATCTGACGTATATAATATTCTAATGAAATTGTGAATAACCTGCAAACGAGTACAGGAGGGAGCTCTGGTGTTTTATGGTAAATCAGTGGTAATGCCTCTTCTACAAGCATTTCCTGGTATTTTTGAGGATTTTGTTTCATGCCATCCGCTATCATCTCTAGTAATCTTGGCTACAATATAAATAATATTCAGTTTTGATTATTCAAAGTATGTCACTTTTGAACTTACTGAATGTGTGATTGCAGCTTGTGGGAACCGTTTTAGTATGAGTAGTAATAGTTTGCATTGGTGTATACTGTTTTCAGCATTATTAACTGTAAGCAATAATATTTTATGCTGCACGTCATATGATACATGTTGGAACATTTTCACATAGAACTCTTGTGCTGGAGTAATTTCATTTTCTGGTGCTCGAAGAGCATTGGTCAGTTCATTTACTTCATTCCACAGTTCCGCGTTTTGGTTTTGAAAGTTTAACGCACTACAAATTATTCTATTAAATTTTGCTTATTACTATTATTCGGTATTTGTACTTACATATTGCTAAAACATTTAGCAGCTTCTTCAAAGTTTTTTGATTCTTTCTCTAGTTTATATGCTTCAAACTGAAATTAGGAATACTTTTATAATTTTATATGTATATTACTATTGCTTTGCGCTTACCAATATTTCAAAGCTTGTTGGGTGCAATGTCTTTGCTGTTATCAACCAGGCCTTGGCTGACGCAGAATCAGTGCTCCTGAGCTTTTGTGCCTGTGACACCAAATAACTTTCTTCAGAAGTAATTGTCTCCATTTCTTAATTATAAAAAAATGTGCATATAAGTCGGAGTTTGTAAAGTAATCTATCTTTTCACAAAACCGGCAACCGGGTAGACTCGATTTAACAACAAATTACTTTGTTTAAAAAATCTGATGTTGGAACCGTTTACTCCCTATTCTTTATCTAATTTATAACGAGATATCGCTTGTTGGAAACAAAAAATGAACGATTAAATTTGGAAATATTACAATATAATACAACTTAGTTACTGTACTGTAAACATTTCATTCGAGAATGAACTCAAACTATTAATGGATATAAAAAAGTAAACTTAATGTTGCTCATAAAAATTACCAAAACAACCTGAAGTTGGTTGTGCTCACACCTTAGTACATGAAAGTGCCCAGCAAGTAACTTGAAGCGAAACTCCTATAAAAACGTTTATAGGATTAGCACGGAAACATTAAACATTATCCTTTCATAAGAAAGGTATGAACGATCACACGTACACAAGAGACAAGCAACAAAACACAGAAAACAAAGGGTATGCCACCAAGGATGACATGCCACAATGAACGCTTTGCTTTCAGTGTTTCTCTCTAATAAAAATGACTGTTGCTTGGCAAACAAGAATGATAGAATTCTTGCTAAAAAAGTTGCCCAACATATTGCTTAGTTTCGTATCGAAAACTTTTTTGTGAACGTATTCATACAAAAGCGTGCAACGAACTTTTCTGTCAAAGCAAATGTCTGATGCAAAGCGAACCAAAAGTCCTATGTGAATTGGCCATAAGAAACTTATGGAAACCTTAACATATATTTCTGGTAGAGCTCTTGGGTAATTAATCAGTTATTTAACTGAAAGTTGGATTGCAGGGTACCAAGTCACGATTACTAAAAATCCTATACTTGCATACAAATTAACATGGAAAGTAAATATATCCACATTGCAAAAGGTTTAATACATGATCAAGAAAGGTATAGTTTGAGGCAGTTTTGTTAACTCAAAAGCGTAAGTATTGCAAAGTATTTATATGAATAAAACTCCAGCTTTCTAATGTGTTTGAATGCAGTAACAGTTCACATTGTTTGTTGTGTTGCCATGTTGAATTTATTTTAGCGAAAAAATTGAGATAAAATTCAACTTTTATGTCTGTTTAATTTTCTATTTCTGAACGCTGGCTGCATAAACTGCGTAAACTAAGGAAAGCGTACACATTTGCTTGTGCGAGTTTCACCTTTATATCGGATTCAATAAATTATCGATAAATATAAAATATCATAAAAGTCGATTTTTCTTAATTTCATCATAACTGCTTGTCCAAAATGTGTAAACAATCATTTCAAAAATCCTATTATTTAAAATTTTAAAGTTTGTCATCAATATGAATGCAAATGGATTCGAACAATGGGTAAACTTTATCACAATGCATACTTTCAGAAGAAAAAATTAAAAAATCTAATATGAATTGTTTAGGGGGGCTATATGGATGCAAAAATCACAAAGCTCGAGGAACAATTTTCCGCATCTAGCAATCCCTACCGAAAATCTAATTTATTTTCTGGAATATCCATTTTTGTCAACGGTCTAACTAATCCTTCAGCTGACGAGTTAAAACGAATCATGATGGTCCATGGAGGCATCTACTATCATTATGAACGTTCCCATACCACTTACATCATAGCATCTAATTTGCCAGATGTAAAAGTTCGTAATATGAATACCAGTAAAATTATAAGCCCACAATGGGTGGTCGACTCGGTAAAAGAAATGCGTGTTTTGGACTATACCCGTTATTTATTGTATACAAATCAAAAGGTATCGCAGCCAAGCTTAGTCTTTAAGAATGTTAAAAAGAGTGTTCGGGAGAATAATCAATCAATAAAAGAAAATTACAATGCCGCACATAGTAAAGAAGTTGCAGTTCAGCACGAAACCAGTGCATTGACATATGCTGATAAAATCAACAATAAAGATTTGGCGCGTACTGCTGTTGATCCGAAATTTCTTTCAGAATTTTATAATAATTCAAGATTACATCATATCGCAACACTTGGTGCTGGTTTTAAGCAGTACGTATCCGATTTGCGTGATCGACATGGTACAAACGGTTTTCCAGCACGAAAAGAACTGAAGGAAAAACTAAATGTTAGTGTAAATGTAAAGACTAGAACATCTGCGAAATATGTCATGCATATCGATATGGATTGCTTCTTTGTGTCTGTTGGTCTGCGGAAACATCCCGAATTAAAGGGTCAACCAGTTGCTGTCACACATTCAAAAGGTTCAAATTTTTTAATTTTGTTTGTAGTTTTCATTCTATAAATTTGATTTTAGTAACTAAAAAAAATGGTATTGCAAACTTTATCATGTTTTTGCAGGCGGAGCGAGCGCAAATGAGGTTCCCGTTCACCCAGGCGCTGACCGCAAAACTGAAATGGAATTGTTTGCAAAGCGTTTTGAGCAACATTTACACAACAATATTTTATCTGAGAAAGTGCGTGGAGGTTTCGAAGCTAAAATGTCACTTTCGGAAATTGCTTCATGTAGCTACGAGGCCCGCGCCAAAGGTATACGCAATGGCATGTTTGTCGGACAAGCTTTGAATTTATGCCCTGAATTAAAGACCATACCTTATGATTTCGAAGGCTACCGTGAAGTAGCTTACACCTTATATGATACTATAGCTCAGTATACGTTAAATATTGAAGCTGTTAGTTGCGATGAAATGTTTGTTGATCTAACAGATATATTAGACGAGATGCAGGTGGAACCAATGGAATTTGTGCGTGCTGTGCGCGAAGAAATGCGAGCAAAAACTGGGTGTCCATGCTCCGCAGGTGTAGGTGGAAATAAGTGAGTGATCAAAGTACTAATATAGTCTGTCAGTAAGAATTTTAATGAAATTGGTATTTTTTCGTAGGTTGCAAGCGCGCATGGCAACAAAACAGGCCAAGCCAGATGGTCAGTACTTATTGCTGCCAGAAGTTGCTGAAGAGTATATGGCAGACATAAAAATCGAAGAGTTACCCGGTGTGGGAAGTAGCACAGCTTATACTCTGAAAAATAATAATTTAGTAACTTGCGGAGATCTTCAAAAGATTTCGCTATTGAAATTACAAATGCATGTTGGCAAAAAATTTGGCGAGACGCTTCATCAGTTCTGCCATGGTATCGATAATCGTCCGCTTACTTATGGGCAAGTAGGAAAGATATACATATATTAATTAAATTAAGTAAAAAATATTAGTACACATTTTTTTAATCTCAGATACGTAAATCGGTTTCTGCAGAAGTGAATTATGGTATACGTTTCAAAGAATTCAGTGAATTGGAAACATTTTTGCGACAATTATGCACTGAAGTGCACACTCGCCTTACCGACATAAAACGACGCACGAAATGTGTTACACTAAAGGTAATGGTACGCGCTAAAGATGCACCCCTTGAGGCAGCTAAATTTATGGGTCACGGCGTATGTGATCACATAACAAAATCAGTTTCACTCTCAGATTATACAAGCGACGTAGAAGTGATCACGCGCACAATTATTGCTACTATGAAGGCACTGACGATACCACCAAATGAATTGCGTGGCATTGGCATTCAACTCTCTAAACTAAATGATCCTAACGAAAGCAAGGCACGAAAGGAGAATGCAATAATGAATATGTTTAGCAAGGTGGCGGAAAAGAAAAAAGGTGAAATGCTGTTTTTTTTTTATTGCGGTAAGACCGATTTACTTGAATTTAAAACTCTTCCTCAGACAAAATCAGTGAACCGTTCGATAATAATATTGACACTAGTATCACAAGAGATAATGCTGCTACCATAAATGCTAATATGCCGATAATATATAAGGCAGCATCAAATGAACACAAATCCGAACAAAACAACAAAGATCTTGGAAAACGCACTCGAGGTAAGATTGCTAGTGGCGTCTCGGAGAAAAAATCGAAAAATACGCCTGATATAATGGACTTAATGCAAAAAGCCAAATCAAAGCAACCGGTCGTATCGTCGAGTAACACTCCGAGTATTAACAATGCCATACCGAAAGATATCGATCCAGATGTATTTGCGGCTCTACCAGTCGACATACGTAATGAAATTTTACAAGCCCACAGTGGAAGTGTACAACAACCAATGAAAACCGTTACGTCAACTCAACCACTAACTAATTCGAATTTAAGCATTCTAAACGAAAGTGATTTCCAACCATCAACGTCCAAAGCAGCCGAACTAAAAAAACAACGTAAACAGCTGCAGAAATTACAAAAGCAACAAGACCATCAAGTTAACGCATATAATTTCACAAAAACGCCGCATATTGATCCGGAATTTTTGGCGGCGTTGCCAAAAGAGTTACGTATGGAAGTGGAGAAGGAATATGCGCAGCTACCTGCAAATTGTGAGCCACCTGACTTCGTGAGAAAACCTAGCAGCAAGTCACCAGAAAATTCTGATGAACAGCGGCACAAAATACAAATATCTACCGACAATATTTTCATGCAAGTGAACTGTAAAGAAATAATTTTAGCTTGGTTAAAGAGCGCCGACGAACCAGAAGCATATGATGTTGATTTGATTGCCAAACATGCTGAAGAAATGGTCAGTACTGATGAAATTGATACACTATACACGCCGCTAATATATCTCTGCAAGTACGTTTCAACAGTTTATAGTTTACTAAGATGTTTATACTTATTTTGTTATTTCATTTTGAAGGTTAATAAATATCCAGAAGAGTAGTGGTACAACTAGTGATTGTGTGTGGCACAAAGCCTACCTGGGCATAATAAAGGTAGTACAGAAGCGAATGGCAGAAGCTTATAACGGCCGTAGTCTGTTTTTGGGCGTAAAGTTGGAATGTGATAAATGTAAAAATTCGTTAATAAAGTGATAAGAACTTCTCTACTTGTTGCTATATAACGGAATGTTAAGTATAAAGCACTTCACTACAACTTACTAAAATGGCAATCAATTAGCAACAGTAAATTGAACGAGTTTGCTCAAATTTTATGTTACCAAGGGAATCGCGGCTACGTTGTCATAGAAGGAATCGTGTTGTTGAAGTGTTTTGGGGAATCTACTTTATCACGAACACAAGTACTTGAGTGTCACAAAGCTGATAATGTAATTGTAGTATATCCATCGCGTTCATATTTTACGTTTGTCACTTTTAACATGTTGCATTCCAAAAAATCTCATTCATCTTCATATTATCCCTCAACCTTGTACTTATTTATTTATTTTTTTTTTTTTTTTAATATTTTCCATTTTATAATGTGATATATTTATCGTTTGACTGTATATTTGTAGTTTATTATTTAGAAAAACACTGAATTGAATTCATAAAAAGCATTTTCTCATTTTTTTGTTTTAATAAAAAATCATAGTAAGAAAAAAATTTATAATCATAAAAGTTGGATTTTTTGTTGTTTGTAATAGTTGGTTTTGTAGTTAAATTTGAAATGCTTTCATTAATAGTATGTTTTTTTTTGTAGTGTAACAGCATACATAAGCAATGATATAGTACGTTAGTGCGCAGCATTGAAATCGTATTTGAAATTAATTTTCTTTTCCACATGCTTCTTTTAAACTGTTGATTTTTTAATTGTCTCTAATTACCGTCCATATATTTGGGAAGATTTAGGATATTTTTAGGCATATAATAGAACGTTTTGTCATAAAAAAAATTTGGATTTTTATTAATTATTTTACAATTTTCGTGGCCATGGAAGTATATATATTTATATGCGAAGATTGTGTGGTTACTTCGGCACTTCTATAATGAGACATTGATCGTAAATCGAGCTGTATATATAGTGGAATTGTTGTCGACGTTGTTGTGCAGTGTACAAATTCTATGAATGTCTTGTTGTTATTTGCACAACTACATCGATTATATTTGTTGTACATGTGTCGTAATTTACATGTAAATTCTGAGATTTTTTATTATATGTAATTACTTCATATAGTTATTGAACCTCTGCTCGCATTTTATTTTTGATTTTACTCCACTCGAGAGCATGTTCTGAATCAATACTCGTCTTTTCATTGTATCTTTTTTTTTTTATTTTTTTGTTTTGTATTCTTACTATACCTCATTTTAATTTCATTTCCATTATATTCATGTATGTATGTATGTAGCTATGAATGTTGTTGTTGTTTTTGTAGGGCGGGTATGTGGCAGACAAACATTAAAAACGCTATCGCGCACGTCCGTTTTAGCGGCTAAATTCAGGCGCATCATCCTGAGTGATGTCACCATATTTCCAGATAACCAAATGTGCAGCCAAGGCAGCTTGTTGAGCGGCTCTATACTGCTCCACCAAATCCTTGAGTTTACGTTCGCGACGCTTCTCGGCTAATACATAACCATCCGCTACCAACTGTTTACCAATGTCGACATTGGTGGCCGGATCATGCACCGTTGCTAATGCCGGCCCGGTGGCAGGTTTTAGTTCGACATTCAACTTAACAGTACGATTGAGCACATCCTCGGCAAAGATACGTAAGGCTTCCTCCTTATCTTCATTGTCGGAGGGAAGTTGTACCAAAGCCAGTGCATACTCGGTTGCGTACGGCCTGTCGCTGGTGAATCCGGCTGGTAGAGCGGCCAAACGGTTTGTAGGCACAGTCTGAAAATAGTAGAAATTCGTTAGTTATTGTATTCAATATAAGTAATTTCGTAGTGAGATTGTTGCGTGATAACCGAGCTTGACTGTACACATAATCTAATCCCCTAACATCTACCGTTGGCGCATCAACCGTTTCACTATCTGTGGCGTCAAGGCGTTACATAACAAAAATATATTGTTTCTACACCATCAACCATGTCCAGCATTCCGATTGAATGACGCTACAGTCAATTTGACGATAGGGTTTATGCTCGCGACAAGCAATGATTAGGCAATGTACAATGCCTATAAGGCTTACTCGATTTTCTCGCTATTTGCTCTAGCAAGCTTATGACTCATGCGTTACACTTTGAAACGGTAACGGATCTAAGGAGCGTGCATCAGAAATAAAGTTTATATAAAATCGTCTAAATTATCTACTTTTTATATGCTTACCTCCTTGTTGCCGTAGTCGATGTAAAGCACGGTAGCGTTGTTGCCTTGCACACGTTCGATCTTGGCGCGGTACCACTGATTGTCGGCGGAAAATTGCGCTGCGCACACATCACCACGTTTGGGGGTGTAGGCACCCACGATTGGTGGATTGGATTGGAAATCAGCGTGCAATTTGGCCATCATCGCCTCCAATTTGGCACCATTTTCCACGGCTTGCGCAAAGAACGTCAAATCGGCAGTAATCTCAGTTACAATAACATCTTCATAATGAACTTTACGTTCCACGGGTACTTTCTCGTCCTTCTCCTCCTCTACGACGACGGGTTTCTCCTCAATAACTTGCTCAACATAATTGGCCCAGATATTCTTCTTGGCCGCCTTGGCACGATCTTCGGCATTCTTAAGCTGACGGTAATATTCAGACTTTTCTGCACTGAAGTGCACCTCAGCAAGACCTTCCTCAACCAATGCAACCGACAAGTTCACATTATTGTCCGTCCAAAGCCAGCCGATAACGGAAGAGCCGGCTTTATCGGTGGTGTCAATATGCACTGATACATCACGTTGAAGAACGCGATCACGTGTAAATGCTAAAGCCTCCTCACCATAAGGTTCGCCATCTTGAGCTGGGACATGTGGAGAGCTTAGAGCAGGACGTGAAGAACGCGGACAAGAAATGCCAGCCAACAGGAATGTTACCAGACAACTATCTTTCGGCACATACAAACGCAGACGTGAACCACTAGCGACGAATTCAACAATAGCTTCGGTACGTAAGGCACGTTGCCAAGAAGGAAGATATTGTACTTTGATACGGGAATGATCAACTGTCAAATCATTGATACGCAATGGCACATTATCTTTTTTGCCAAACATGCCCTTTTGACCCTTGATAGCTTGACTTTCGGCAGCTAAAAGCTGATCGTACACTGAAGAGCGTTGATCGTCATCTTGACGATGACGTACGCAGGTTGCTAAACCCTTTGCAACCATAGCTTCAGCAACATTTTGTCCGCCAATGTTCACGGTATAACAATATTTCTCTGGGAAATTATCGCGTGCCGGCGAAATGTAGTCCAAGTTACATTGCACTTTTTTATTGATTAATTTCTTACGCAAAAATTCGCGAGCTTCGAACATGAATGGAATCTCATAAAGCGGACGGTAGTTCTTACCGCGTAGAGGTACACCAACCTCACCATCAGCGCCGACAACGGAACGTTGGTCACGTGGTGGGCGTATCGAAGAAAAAAATACTTTCTTCACTTGTCCGTTTGACAGGCGTACACTAACGGCATCTCCGTTGAATACTTCTACTACTGTGCCGGTGAAATCTTTTTCCTTAGCATTAACAGTGGGCGCCTTTGATTGATATTCCTTCCACAAACGCAGACGGTTTTCCTTAGCAGTTCGCTCGGCAGCACGCAACTTCTCGGCTCCTATTTAAAACAAGATTATATATGTTTTACGTACACACATAATAAATTTGTATTTATAGATAAAATCGTAATAATAATTTTACACATGTATAAATAATAAAACGTTATTCATACATGCGAGTTCAAATTGGAATGTCGACGGGGTGAAATGATCTTATTGCTTATAAATTTTAAAGCATCAAAATCTTGGAGTCCGTCTTTAATTTAGCATCACAATGTGTTAAACAAGAGCAGTTCAATGATATTACAAATTAGTGCTTTAGTAACACAAAATGATGCGTATGCGAAAAGCGCCTCTATCTATAACCCTTATTTAAAATAAAAGTATGCAATCAAAACTTACCGCTCTTCATTACGGCCATCGACCAGTCAACACATTTTGCCAAACCTTCGCGCAGCAATGATTCGGCAATGTTGCCCTTGGGGAACAGAATCGTACCAATGAAATTTGAGTTGTTTACAGACTCGAGACGAATTTCTACTTCGCGTTGTAGCAATCGGGATTCTACGTAGAAACGGGCTTCATCGGCAAAAGGAATTTTTACGCTTAAATCTGGTTTGCCATCGGCATCAAGTTTCACACCTGGACAACGGATTCCCGAAATCATCAATGTTATATATTGGAAATCTGGCAGAAGGAAGGCACGAACCGTCGAACCATCTCGAACATGTTCGATAATCGCTTTGACTGGTTTACCACCATAGTATTCAACAATATGGGCAGGATTCTCCTGGGTCCATTTAATATGGCGCACTTTTTCAACAGGTGGCACATGCGACCATTTACCGCGATTCGCACTTTTAGCTTGATCTTCTAATTCGATAAGTCTTTGCAATTCGCTGGAAGGTCTTCCCTCTCGACGTACAGTTACGTAACCCTCACGCACCATTGTTTCAACAACATTTTCGCCGGATTCCGCATCCTTGCCCAGCCATACGAAACCATATTCTCTATTAGAATTGGCAGGTTTTTCAAATGAGAACAAAACTTCTTCACCAATAAGTTTCTTTCTTAGAAATTCACGTGAATCCCAGGCCCATGGTTCATCCTTAGTCTCATCACCTCCGGCACCTGGACGACGAGCTAACTTGGGCGCAAGAACGTAAGAGAATGTAATTTGTTTTTCCGGTGGTGGTGCACCTTTTAATGCACGAATAACCACAGTGTCTCCCGAAAGAACCTGTTGAGAGTAAAAATTATTTTATAAGTTCTACACATATAGCAAGAACATTAATTACAAATTGTAGTTATATTGAAACTTAAATTCTTCCTCACTCTTATGTTGTAATTTTATTAGACATGTGTTTTAAGATGAAATGAGTGAAGTTTGCTGCAAAAAAAACAGCTAAGATATTTTCGGCGCCATCTATATTTCAATACGACACTGACGATCGACAGAGGTGTTTTTTAACTGATCAAGGAACCACGACACAACAAAAAAAAAAAATTTCTTTTGACTTTCTTGCATCGTACATTTTTCCCTTAATTTCATAAAATTTAAAAATGATATATAATAATTTGTGTTTACGTAGCACAAAAACGAAATATTTGATCCGATAGTTGCGTAAATCTTTAATACTTGTGCGTGAAACTCGGCACATCAAGTAAAATACAAATACGCAAATTCACATTTACAATTTTATTAAAGCAATGTAATATGCATTTTGGTTAAGGAGCAACTACACCCTTTAGATTGCATAAATATCAAGTTGGTCCTTTCAAAAATTATTCTAATTGTAGACAGGCCTCCGCTGACCTTATCTAGCGACCCACAAAAGGGTTGGAAGGGGGAATGTTTTGGGTTGAACCAAAGTCATAGATATTCGAAATTATACAAAATTTGTAATTGTTAAGAAGATTTCTTCAATTATTATTAGTTTTTACTCTTTGCATCTGGCATCCGAGTATTTATAGAAAAAAGTAAAAATCTATGTAATTGAAGCATATACATTCATGTGTTTAATCAAAATAAATAAATAGCTATTAATTCTGTAGTATATATTATTATAAAATAATACTAATGCCGAATAATCCACTCGAGTAAGAAGTAATATAAATTTGTAAACTGTAGAAACCTCCACAAAATACAATCTCTAAATACTGATATTAAAAAAATGTATATAGGCAAACGGATTGTGAAATAGTTAATATGTTAACTACTGAAACATCAAAACACCACAATTAGTTTGGGTTGAACTACATAAAAATGAAAGTAATGCGTGTGAAAAGTCCTATAATCAACTAGATATGTATGTGGTAGCAGCATTTTTATCGAAATTGAGGTTATAAACGAACTATAAATTCTGAAAGCTGTGAGCAGGCAAACATCAAAATTTGCTGCTGCGCCGATAATGTGAGAGACAGCGAAGCTTGCTGACGCTGCCAATGATATACTTGTTTAGGTAAATACAAGAGAAAAATAATTCAACTATTCAACCGGCAAATTAAGTATTGTGTGCATATGTATAATAATTAACAATACACGACTGTTTCTAAAGCCTTTGACGCAGAGTCCTTTGCTGAAGTCATTCAGTATATACGCGTACACATATTAAAATACCAACAGTCTCTTTCAAAATCTGCCAAGTTGGCACCTCCATTAAACTTTCATTTCATGTACTGCTGTTTGTGCTGCTCACTCACTTTTTAATGTCTATATACATATCGCATTCTCACATACATAAAAGCAGCTCTGTCGGCGTATTCGTTTGTCGTCAGCACGCTGCCTCAATTTCATTCACTTTTTTCTTACCGTCCCTTAAATGAAAATCTTCAAACACCAATATCTTTCAAATTCCTCTGCCTTTCATATATTAAGAAAAAAATTACGATTTTGAAATTATTTCTACTGACCTGTTTCACAATACCACGCCGTTTTGGTGCCGACGACGCGGAATCACCATCCTTATTTGTCGCCGTGGCTGGACTTGTCAATGCGGGTCCACTCATTTTCTTTAATTTTCAATTACTTTTTATAGCGGGTGTTTTAGCACTGATAATTTATAGCGAATGCGCTATTTATTGAACTTTTTTCTTGCTTTCTGCAATTAAAATATAATTGAAAACGCGGAAAAAATTATTCCTCTGCTTGAACTCGATGTCCACCTATCTGCTTCTGCTTCTGCTTCGTCCGTTCCACGTTTGCACGAGTACGAACACACCACCGCCCGTGAAATTTCGCTTCGGTTTGACAGAAGGTGCAACGAATACGAACAAACGTCAAATATTGAAGAGGTGTCATGTGACGTCATACACAGGAGAGTTGCTATTATATCAGAAATTAACATAATTAAAATTTTTTTTTTTAATTTCAAGTGGTTAACGTAAGATTTTTATATATTTAGCATATTGACATTTGTAAATTAAACATCGCGAAAGTTTTTAAATGTTTAAACTGTAAAATTCAAAAATTTATTCAAAAATTTTATATTCCCTTAACATGATATTCGAATATTCTAACAAATATATTAAGAAAAACGTCTCGAATGAATAAAGACCCACGTTTTAATTAAGACTTAAATCTTATAAATTTATGTACAAAAAATGAAGAAAATTAAAGTAATTAATTTAAAAAAATTCAAAGAAAGCGTTGGATAAAAAAAATTCTAGTAACCATTGTAACAGTCCCCAATGGAATACAAATGGTGTCGTTTTAAGACACAGCCTTTCATATGCATGTGTCTAAACGTTATGGGTTTAATTTGTGTTTTTATTAAGTTGTCTAATTTTTGTTAAGTTAAAAACTTTTTATTTTATTTTTCGTTTATTATTATTATATTAAAATATTATTTAAAAGTATATTTAAATCTACTTTTTTGTAAAGACTATGGAACTGACAACACTACCGATTTTACCACCAAATTTGAAACAAGGTGTAGGAATTGAACATTTCTTAACGAACTTATCTGCCAAACTAATTAAGAGCTCATCTTCCGTCCAATTGCAAGATGTTAAAATGAATAAGCTGTTCTCATCCATAAGGCTATGAACTGTATTAAGATATGTGTCACGTTTTTCTCTTGGATTGTCTGGACATAAACTGATGGCGTCATAGGTGCCCTTGTCATGGACGATTCCGAAAGTTCCGAATTGTTGTTGGCAGAGTTCCGTATTCAATAAATCCGCAACTTGATAACGAATGTTTAACTCTTGATCTTTGGCTATTTGCTTAGCTAATTCAATGGCACCTTCCGAGTAGTCCACACCAAGTAAATTTGAAAATCCCTCTCGAGCTAGTTCTATCAAAAACATACCATTGCCACAGCCCATATCAACAACATTTACATCATTACTGAATGTATCCTGCTTCAATATCCAATTTATGATACGAATTTGAGAGTCTTCATCAAACCAAATCGTCCCCACGTCTCCATGATTTTTATAATTAGCAATATCTTGGTCATAGCTGCTATCCCAATAGTTCTTGGTACCAAGTTCGGATCCTTCTAGCTCTTCCACAGACATTTTGAAATTACTTATAAAATGCAATGTTTATGCACGTGAACTTTATTTATTTACAAATATATACACTTGTAAAGGTGTATGGTAGCCGATTGACAATAATTTTATTATTCACAATAGCACTTTTCAGATTTCCATGGTTGTAAATCATTTTACAATAAGAAAATTGAGGAATCATTTATTTGTTCAGATTAGTGTTTTAACAGATAATCTGTAAAATATATAATGATATATATAAAAATATTACTTTTACAGATAAATAGAATACACAATGTTTTAGGAGTCCAAGTTATTGCTGTTGAGTTGACGGTCCTATTCGTTTAAAAATTGGGTTCGTTCCCAATACAAAGATTGGACTGTCTGGAATGCAGCCAACACAAAATGAACCTTAAATTTTATACATGCCTTCTTATGTCTTGCGCTGTAAAAATTGAATGCATCCAAGTGCATACAATGAAGTTGCGTAAATTTCAAACAAAATATGTATATTGCCACGTTCACGCTTACGCATGTATTGTAGTTTCAGCTTCAGTATTAAGTTAATTTTTATTTTAAATTCATCTACCGCGAATTTGCTAATATACTTTGCACTTTCCGAACAGTTTCCAAAAAATGCCAAAATATTTTCTCTGTGCTGTTTTGGTTATATTTGTGGGCAATTAGAAAAATAGTAACAATTAGTGGAAATCCAAGAAATATTTCCTCTTATTTGTCAATAAAGGGTACATAATAAAAAAAGAAGTTGTTAAAACTAAGTGCGAACCATTAAGCTGAAGGGAATATAAAGGAAATGCCTCAACGCCGGATTGGTAATCGTCGAGAAAATGGCAGAGGAGGAGGTGGTGGTGGTGGAAGTGGCGGTATGCGCGATGGTGGGCGTGGCAGAGGTGGAGGTGGTAGAGGACGCGATGATGGTGTACGTTCTGGACGTGTAGAGAAGCGCTATGATGATCGTGGTCGTCGGGGGGGTGGAGGAGGTGGAGGTAGTGGCGGCGGTAACAACAACGATTTTGCCGGTAAATTTATTGTACAACTAATTTATATATGTATTTACAGGGTGTATCACAACAAGCACTATAGCGAGTGAAAAAAATAATATTTTTTAAAGTGATAAAATTGGTTATTTATGATTAAAAAAATATACTCTAAAAAAATAGATACTATTTTTATTTTACATTTGTTTTATATTTCTTCTATACATAATCTATTTTAAAGCATAGCATATTGCAACTTGTTTCTTAGAAATCGATATTCTTTTACTCAAATTCCTACTAAAAACTAATTAGTACAAAAAGCTTTATTATATACTATGAATTCGACTTATAGTCGATGTCGAGAGTAAGACTTGCATTTTTTATATTAAGTCCGGTGCATAATGTTTATATGTTACTTACTGCACAAGAAAACTTATAGTAGATTAATAATTTGTTTTCTGTTTTTTCTTGTAACAACCAGGTATTGCTTTTAAAATCAAACAATAAATTTAAAATTTAAAATTTCCGTAAAAATATATAAAAATGCATCGTTTATTCAAATTTTTGTAGGTTACAAAAATATTGTTTTTATAAAACACTCTTCTAATAATTTTTATTTTATAGGACTACGCACCATAAATTGGTCAGACGTACGCCTGCCGCCTTTCCAGAAAAACTTCTACCAAGAACATCCAAAAACGCGAAATCGTCTACCTCAAGAGGTAGAGAGATATCGCGCAGCACACCAAATAACGGTTCGTGGTCCAGCACCCAATCCAATACAATACTTCGACGAAGCCTGCTTCCCCGATTATTGCCTCAACGAGATCAGACGTCAGCGTTATACAGAGCCAACACCTATACAAGCACAATCATGGCCAATCGCAATGAGCGGATGCAATCTCGTCGGCATCGCTAAGACCGGCTCTGGCAAAACGCTTGCTTTCATTCTTCCCGCTATCGTACATATAAATAACCAACCACCATTGCAACGCGGTGACGGGCCTATTGCACTTGTTTTGGCGCCAACGCGTGAATTGGCGCAACAGATACAAACGGTAGCAAATGATTTTGGTTCGAGCGTTTACGTGCGTAACACATGCATATTTGGTGGTGCACCGAAGGGTAAACAAGCGAATGATTTGGAACGTGGTGTGGAAATAGTAATTGCCACACCGGGACGGCTGCTAGATTTTTTAGCAACTGGCATTACTCATTTGCGGCGCTGCACATACTTAGTTTTGGATGAAGCTGATCGTATGCTAGACATGGGTTTTGAGCCGCAAATACGGAAAATTCTCGGACAAATACGACCAGACAGACAAATTCTAATGTGGAGCGCCACTTGGCCAAAAGAAGTGCGACAACTGGCCGAGGACTTCCTCGGTTCATACATACAGGTATGCATTTTTCCACTCAACACTTTGATGTGGAAAATCCGTTTAATTATTATCTATCATATATTTTGTTTTTATTTTAATTTCACTTTCCAGGTCAATATTGGTTCGTTAGAGTTATCCGCAAATCACAACATACGCCAATATGTCGATGTTTGCAATGAGCATGATAAGGGCACAAAACTAAAAGATTTACTTTCTCACATCTACGACCAGTCACATGCGCCGGGTAAAATTATCATATTCGTCGCAACCAAGAAGAAAGTGGACGAGCTGTCACGCTTTATCAATGGCTTTGGTGTACGTGTCGGTTCCATACATGGTGATAAATCACAAGTTGATCGCGATAATGTGCTGGCCGAATTTCGTAGTGGTCGCTCGAATATTTTAGTTGCCACCGATGTAGCAGCGCGTGGCTTAGATGTGGATGGCATCAAATATGTCATCAATTTCGACTTTCCACAATCGTCTGAAGACTATATACATCGAATCGGACGTACCGGGCGCAAACATTCCACAGGTACATCGTATGCATTTTTCACACGCAAGAACGCCAAATGTGCGCGTGCTCTAATCGATATACTGCGCGAAGCTAACCAAAATGTAAATCCAGAGTTGGAGTATATAGCACGAAGTTCGGGCAGCGTTGGTGGGCGCAGTCGTGGCGGTCGTGGTGGAAATGGCAATGGTGGTGGTGGTGGCAATATGTCGTCGAGCAGGCGAGGTGGCAATAATAGCGCATTCAGCTCAGGTGGTGGCATGAGGGGACATCTTAGTTCTGGTGGTAATGGCTACGGAAATGGCTATCGAGGTGCTGCTATGGTTGGCAGTCATAGCGGTAAAGGTGGTTATGGTAGCAATAGTGGTGCTGGTGCAGGTGCAGGTGGTGGTTACTCGAATGGCAATTTATCTGGCGGCGGTTCGAGATCGCGTAGCTACAATTCCCGCCATTAAAACAAACATACTGTGTAAAGACAATTGTGTAAAAATGGAGAGAATTTGTCAACTGCAAGAGTTGGGTTTGTTTAACTTACATACAGAGCATATACAGAGTATAAAATGAATTCTCATTAATATCGTTTTCGAATTTCGAAGTTCGCAACGTTTCTTAAAGCAAAGAAGAAGTATGAAATTGGCAAAGAGCGCGCATGTTGAAAGTCCGCATCATTTGTGCTTGATGTGCGGTGCAACAATCGACGGCAGCATGTTCATCCACACCAACAAGTCATAAGTTTACAACAGCTCAATTGTAAGCTGAAATTATTTTCGAATTTAAACACTTTTTGGATGTAGCAAACGAATTTACTAATTTTTGGCTTATTTTCGGCATATCTATTTTACTAATGCAGCAAACCCTTGGCATTTACGTTGATGAAAGCAGAGAAAGGAGAGTTAACGCTTTGTATACAGCAACAAAAAGAAAGAAGTGCACATATATAAATATGTACATTTTCGTTTTAAATACTTATACATCTAAACATTTATAATTGAAATGAATGCATGGAAATAAAGCTACAATAGCAAATACTAAAGTAAAAACAAATAATGGAAATAATAAAGTTTTATTATTTTTATTTCAAAGAAGTTTGTTTTATTCTAATTTGTTGTGCAATACATGTACAATGTCGTATGTATGTATGTAAATATATTAAGGTATTTTAATTGTAAAAATATGCATGCACCTACGCTGCACGTTCTGCTCTACAAATTTAGAACTTAATACTTGTATGTGTATATGTATATATGTATTTTTAAGTATACACTAGTTCGTGTTTTGTTTTAAATTTAAAAATAAATGTTAAAATTATTATATTTTAATTTAAAAATCGCGTGCCTTTCTCCATCTAGCACATTTTTGATACTTGCTTTCACGTTTATATCTCTTCTCATTGACCCTGCTGTTGTGTTCGGCGTTGTCCTGGAATGAGAAGGAAAAACATATATTGTAATTGCGTTCAAACATACAATAATACTACGTATATATAATATGTATGTAGATGAAAGGGTTAGTATTGTGTCGGAAGGTCCCCATCAACACGAGCTTTACGGTACAACTGCAATATCTTTTAAGTGGAGATGGCTGCCAACAAGGTAGTAGTAGATGTACTTCGCGAAATGCAGCTTTCTTCCGATAGCGAGTCCGAGTTGCATTACGTATACACGCCTGGAGCTCGCACCAAAGACTAACCAGGAGTGTTTGACCTCCTTATCAGTAGCATCAAGCTACTTTTTATTCGACTTGTTTGGGTACCGGATCACAGTGGAATCGCTGGAAACTACAAAGTCGATGGGTTGCTAGGGAGGGAAATTTCATCAGATTGGCAACCAGTCGGTACTCTGTTGTTCTCTTGCTCTCTAGCGTTGAACTACGCGTGAGCTTGGCCAGCGCTGGTCAACAAGCAAACTTGAGCGGTTGCGTGACTCTTCTGGGGCATAGAGGTGCGCATAAGGTCCTCTGAACTAGATGCTCTTAGCAAGGTACATCTCGCCGCCATGTTAGGTGTTATGACTGAACACTGTCCAATAGGCTCAGGTTACATATGCTGTCGGTCGCAAATAGCGAGGACCAGTCCTATGACCTAACCTTACCTAAGTGACATTAAGCTAGCAGTAAATCTATGGGTTTGAAGTGCAAACTCCTTCTGGAAGAAGAAACTTTCTGTTCTAAAAGTAGCAATACTGGTCCTAAGATCCCACAACATGATCCAAAACTAGTGAATGTTGCTTAAACGAACTCTCAATTGCCTCGAGTTAAGAAACTGTAAGCGAGTCAGTGTTTTTCCTTACTCTCTTTCGGTTTACTTACGAATTTATTTAGTTGTACGCATTTTTACTGAGTCTTTGGTAGATTGACTTTTAGTCATTTAGCCATTTAATCCCGGTAGCCGATTTGTAAAGAGTTTAGTAAAATTTTTTGGCATTACTAAAGAGTTTCTTTGAGACAATCCTCGGTCCTATATAAAAGTGTAGGCCCGTTCCGGATACGTATACCTGTATTGATGGAACGGCGGACATGTATTAAAATCACAGTAAAGATCAGTAATCGACCGTTAAACTCAACATAACCTAACTTCACTTTAAGTATAAGTAGAGCGTGACCTCGTTTGTTAATCTTTCAAGCAGAAAATTTATTTTATAAATTTTGATAAGCAGGTGCAATTTAGCACATTAGCCTGGTATTTTCCGACTCCGTTCAGTATTATCACTCTTAAAAGATGAATTAGTGGACATTCATTACTGTTGTGGTGGAGGCAAAAAATAATCACCGAATAATTGTAAACATAGCGGCAGCGGATTATACAGCATGCAAAACCGTTTCCGTTTTGGTTAACTAAACCCATTTTATTCATATTTATTCTGCTTACTCATTCTTATTAGAAAT